AAGCTCACCTGAAATCGAGCGACAGCAGGGCCGACGGTGACGCAGAACGCACTTGCTCCCTTGAACGAGATCGCGAACGCGACCGCCTCCGCGACTTGGAACAGTGACCGGCTTCGCGACGACTCCGGCTGTATGCGGAACCGGCGTGGCTTCGCCCATCATTCGCGCTACGTCGAGAACGAGACCGGGAGCGCGAGCGAGAACGACGAGTCGAGCCCTCGTGGGCGCTGGAAAAAAAAGATCATTTTTCAGAGCGGAGAAGCTAATTTTCAAGTAAATTTTGTTCAAAGAGGCCTCACCTTGACTCATCACCCTGCTTTGAATGCCCCTCTCGAACACTGGTCGTAGACGTCAAAAGACGGACTACGACTACCCGGCATCGATGAACGAGAGCTAGAAAAGGAGGGCTATTACGTAAATGAAAATATTTGAAAGAAACGAAAACAATGCTAACGGCATTACCAACAATTTTGCATCGAAAAGCGCTAGTAATGAATTCCGGTTCTCTCGCATATTCGGGGCAACTTTTCTTAGGATCTAATTTTCTAGAGGAGAAATGGTTTGTAGAATTGCTAAATGGTTTGCACTATGCCTAAACGTGAAAAATATACAAAGTTTTATCAAAAAATTTCAACAACGTTTTGACCGAATTTCGACTTTTTCGAGTTCATATATATTTATTTTTTAGCAACAACTATGAAAACACTTCGATTAAGTTACTAGTCATTCCTACTTATAGAAAAAAAGTTACGTCCGTATGATAACGCGAAAGAACCTGAATGTGCGATTCCAGCACTACACGAAAACGTTGATTTTCGACACTATCGGTAAAATATCGAACTATTGTATAAGATCATTAGTACAACAATGTCGCCAAAAGCTCTGCCGTTCGAAATCTTGCCAAATCCAAACGTTGAGCGGCCAATGTTTGCTGTCCAAGGCGCGACTATCGGATGTGTGGGGTATCGCGACGGAAGCGCCAAGCACTGGTTAGCAAGCACAAAACAATTCAGTAGAGGAAAAGTAGTTGACCATGTATCAAATCCTATCCTATAAGCGAGAAAAGTATGTGTGTTTTCTGTGCAGCCGAGTTTCTCGGCCGTACAGGCCGAATTTCCGGCGATTTTTGGCATGGAGGTGGAGAAACACATTTGCCAGACACGCATTTTTTTGTTTTCCGAAACTTCCTTGATTTAACACGGATTTTACAAAACAAAATGAGTGAAAATCCTTAACAAAATAAGCGACGAGCCGTGGTGTTCAAGGGCATAACTCAAAGCAGATGGAATTTCGGACTGTAATTTGGACCACTTATGTATTCGATAATTGGGGATCACACGCATCTTATTATTTCTGTAAATTTTGGTGCATTCAATTCTAAAATAACGATTTTTGTAAAGTCACCAGAAGTCTTCATGCCGGGTTGAACCCCTGGCCCCAGGACAGAGGACGTCCCGCCACCCGTCGCCATGCCCCTTTGGTATAGTGGTTTGGCGCGCGGCTAGCAATAAAGCGAATGGACCAGGGTTCGGATCCTCGGCGAATGTAACCCTTTGCTTTTTGATAAATTCAACAACAAAACATATTTCCGAGGCTCTCGGTATCCGAAATTTAGGCCAGTCCCTCGCTCTAGCGCCGCAGGCAGAAAGGTCCTTGGCCCTGGCTCTAGCGCCGCAGGTAAATGCTGGAGAAAATCAGTAGCTAGCGCCGCGAGTCGAGAATGGTTCATAGAGACAGGCTCTTGCGCCGCAGGCTTCCAAAAACGGAAGGGGGAATATATGATTCCTAGACGGGGCCAGTGGAAAGAGCCGCGAAGCGGTCTTTTTCCACTGGTTTCAACAATAATACGCATTTAGATATAATTATTTATTCTTATTCCGTGTTTACAAATTATACTAAATAACAAACAAGTCATGCAATAATTAGAGGGGCGGCGCTCATCGAGTTGGTCATAGGCTGCTTGGCAGTTACTCGTCCAGCGGCTCCTCCTTCACCACCCTCCGACGAGCACTGTTCCGCTTGATTTCCTGTCGGCGTCGTCCGTCGGGCTGATTCTCGTCTTGTTCATCTTCTTCCGCGTCTTCATCCGAGCCATCGTCTGATGCCTGGTTTCGCGGCAACATGTGCCAGCCAAAGAATTCAGCGAACCCGGCTGCATGAATGTTGCCGGACCTGCAATAAAATATTCTAAAAATTGTGAAAAAACCAACCGATAATCGAAGAGGGCGAGCGAGTCTTTGCCGTAGTGCCAGTAGTTCACTTCAATCAGACGACCCTGTGGCCAGTCACTCGAGCGGGGAAGAAAAATTCAGGATCGTCGATGGAGTTGGTTTCCACCAATGATCCGATCTAAAATTGGCAAATTTACAAAAACAAAAGAAAAAAATTACCGGAAACATGGTCTTGATCTGTTGGTCGTCGTGTGGCACTTTTGCAAACAAGCTCGGATCCGCATCCGGGTAACGATTTTTCTCTAAAAGGGCATAAACATAATGCATAGTAGGAAATTGCACGGGAATTGAGCGCCGGTTGCTTGGAACAACAAGATCAATGCCGTGTGATCTTGCGTAGCCGCTGGGGAACAAGAGCGGCGACGACCAATGTACGGGCAGACACGTCGTTGCCAAATTTCACGATGAGGTGGCCGCTCTAAAAAAATATGATGGAGAGCGGAAGATGAAAGTACCTCATAAACGATGCGCTTGATGTAGGCCCATGTCGTGCATATGCTTTGCAAATCCAGCTGGGATCCATCAGTTCGAGGGCAGTGTTCGGCACAAAAAAGGCACCTACAAATTGATAATGATATGGACCATTTTATTGACCGAAAATATAGTAAAATATTTTGCATCATCGGGGCAACATTTTTACACTATACAGCTATATTTCAACTAGAACACTTCAAAAGTTGGAAATTTTGTTCAAAACACGGCGATTTTTGGTGGAAAAAATCGTTATTTTTTTAGTTTTTCATAAATTTTAAATTTTTTACGCTTAAGAATCAGCCATACAGCTCATACCCACTTCCGCTACTTGTATATTCAACAAATTGGATCCTGAGCAAACATACACCCATCACCCCGATAATGCGAAAGATCCAATATTTCTTACCGGTTCAGTAGCGCAATGTGAGAAGACGATTCCGGGCCTCGCATCCCCATCCATCATCTTGATCACGGCGGGCTTGTCGGGATTCTGTAAATTTAGCTTTCCTAAGTCAGCGGTAAGGATGTACCTTTTGGGATGCTTGAATGGCATCAGCTACGACGCGTGCTCGGTGTTTATAGTGTCTGCCGCGGACAAGGCTATTGCTGACAAGAAGACGGTAATTCGAGAGATTGGCCCAGCCGACGTGGAAGAGCAGCGGCGAGTCTTCTTCCACCCAATTGGTTCCCGTGCGAGGCAGCTAAACACAACAATTCAATCGCTGGAAGCCAACTCTTGCCTGCGTGTCATTTGCTGTGAGATTTGGGTCATCATTTGGCAGGTAGTATCGCATGTCCAGCTGCAAGCATCACTAATCATCGGAAAAATTAAAAATACAACCTCCACCAACACCCGGTTGGCACGCGTCTCCTTGACAGTGCCGACGCGCAGGCGATCTGTGCCGTAAGTATCAAGCAGCTCAACGCGATCCCGCACCTCAAATGGCATTTACATGGCGGAAAGTCGTTTTACCTTGTATTTGGAACCTTCGGTCCGCAACTTTTGCCTCATTTGAAGGAAGAGGCGTGGGCATCGGTGAAAAATGCCATCGCCCTAGACCAAAGTAAAAACAAACAAAGTGGCCGCACTATTTTTTGTTCCAAATCTCGCAGGAAAGGCAGCATGTCGGCGGGAGAGTTCCAGTCTTGGGCGTCGGCCACGTCCTTCGGAGGCAAATACCGGAAAGGCTCGTGTTTGTTGCTGAAAAAAAACCCAGTCAAAAAAAATTATTCTGAAAACTGACGCATAGCCAAGGGGCTGCAAATCTTCTGAGCCCATGTTCATCCAGACGCATTGGTCACTACCGACGAGCTGCAACTTGATGAAGAGACCTTGGATCTGAAAAACCGGGAATTGTTCAGTCATCTGAATTACTTTTTGTGGTTCTTTCGCATTATCGGGGGGCAAATTTTTTGTAGTAGTCAATTATTCTAGAAATGGCTATCAACTTCACAGGAAGTCTTTTAAAAGTGTTTTTGCGTCAACACAAAACCAGAAACTAGAACTAGAAAAACTATCGCGACACTTTCCGCCAACTCTCGAAGTTGAAAATGTGATCAAAAACGGCCGTTTTTGGTCGAAAGATCGATATTTTTTGCAATTTGTAATAAAAATGTGCAAATTCGTACGTTTCGGAAAAGTAAAAACCAGTATAAACAATTCCGCTATTTATATTCCCGCCCCGATAATGCGACAGAACCGATTCGCAAACAAAATTAATAAAAAAGATACCTCAACAGCGAGAGCTGGCCAACAGTCCCATTCAACTTTCATTTTCGGCTCAGGGGGTGCCTGTCGCTGCCACCAGATTTTTCGTGGCCGGGTGCGCCGTTTCGGTCGTTGTTGTTCCCCTTGACTAGCGCGCGGCTGCTTCTTCTTTCGCACGGCTTTTCTCCTTTTTGGTGGTGTTACAGGAGCGGGATGGGGATTCGGGCGACGTTTTCGAAGAGTTTTCCTTGCACTGCCACTGAATGTCGGTTGCTCTGAAAATGAGGTTGAACATAATTCAGGCACGCTTACTCCCGAGACAAAAGATATGAGGCAAAAACAATCACCTTCCATTTCGTCCGACGAATCATTAAGCACAATCACGAATGGTGACACTGCTCTTTGGAATTCTTCATCTCCATCTGCTGCCCGCGCCACTTCGATGGCTTCTTCGCCTTCCGCCTCGTCTGTAGACATCTCTTCGGCCTTCACCGCCTTGGCTGGGGGTTCTTCCACATTCTTCCGCCAGATGAAGTCAAACTGTAAAGAAAAGGGTTCGTTCCCATATTTTTTCCTTACGATATATTTTTTTGAATAGAAATAGCTTAAACTGTTTCTACGCTGTTTTTTTTATTATTTCTAAACGTGAAACTATACAAAATTTTATTAAATGATGTCAAAAATATCGATCTTTGGCCAAAAATGGCCGATTTTTGACTACAACTTCGACTTTTTCAAAACACTAAAATTTTTACTAAAAGATTTCCTATTAAGTTACCAGACTTATAGGCTTGTTCTATTTCTAGAAGATCGCAAACACTGGAAAAGCTACCCGAAAGGCCAAAAATAAAAGTAATAAAACCCACAATAATTTTCCCGAGGTACGGCCTGATAATCTCGGCGAGGTGGTCGTAGAGGGCGGTAGGCAGGCTACTAGTCGAGAGCATATGCCGGAAGTTGCCGTCTGCAAAAGATTTACATTCTGCCCCAAAACAAACTACCTTTATCACGAGCCTCTTTCTCCCTGTCCCAGAAAAAGGTCTCGCCCGCGCCGCTCGGGGCACCATTGTCGTAAGCGTGCTTGAAACCGTCGGGGTACCGGGTGACCCGGTACGGCACCGACATCTGGAAAATGAAAATACTAAAAATAAATGAATGAAGAATGAAAAATTGAACCATCATTTAATTAGCAATTTAATGCAGTGGAGAGCAGGCACAGTTTATGTTTGATCAGGGTGAAGGAAGGTAACAAACTTTGGCCGTTTAGTTGGGGAGAAAGATAGAAATTGTGCCGAACTTTCTAAAATCTCCCTAACTCTGAATTTTCGAAAGGGGAACTCGTTCTTTCGCATTATCGGGGCGGTGGAAAGAAATTTTATCGTCCCCTCTAGAAATTCCCATTAAAAAAGAAAGAGAACGTATGTTATGTTCTCGGTAAATTAAAAGTATATTTCAACTAGAAAACTATGCAAAAAACCTTCAAAAATAGCAATTTTGGTCAAAAAAAAAGCTTTTTTTGTAAATATATCTTATATAAATTTCATAAAAATTCGTAGTTTTCACGTCCAGGAATAGTAAAAAAAACGGTTTTAAACACCTCGCCTTGAGCAATAAAACAATGTGGAAAAATCCAAAAATAAAAAATCGAGCGCGGCGTTTCGTGAATGTACTATGGACGGTGGTCCCGCATGGAAGCATGCTGTTACGGCAGGCGCTTTAAATTCTCCGTTCACTTAGTTTTTGATTTTTGACAAAATGATTTTTCAGTTACTACTTTTACTAATCGTCATACCGGTTTTGCTTTTTAGTAACTTTTACGCATCTTGTACTGAAATCTAACCCGAAATTCGAACCTCTCTGTTTGGCGGCTACTTGAATGCCCATCTTTTTATCCTCACCGCTGCGCACCGACTTTTCGTCTATTTTCTTTCTTTATCCCCTCAGCGGTGTTTTCCTTTTAGTTTTTATCTCTCGCCTTTTTCTCTGGTTCCCCTCTCATTACTGCCTTACGCAGCTGTCCTCGTTACACTTGCACCGGGTACATATTCAAAAACTATGCCGTTGCAGCCGAGTCAGCCCGGGGTCCACAATGCACACGAGATCAACGGCCTCGACGATGCTTGCCGACTATCACAGGGGCGCTCAGCCGACGGTAAATTTCTGTTTGTAGTCAGGGTTCTTACATTTTTTGGGCGTTTTCTCAGGCTTCATGTTTTCAGGAACAGCCACTACGCAAAACCTCGAATCGACAGCCACTCGGTGATGTGCAGCCCAACCAAGAAACAAGGGGACAAAGTGGGCCGAAGGTATTTTTAAATTTCGTGAATTATTTGATCTGTTTTAGCCCGTCGTGAAGCCGGTACAGCCAGCGAAGGTCGACCATCGGCAATATTTGTGCCCCGACTACGCGGAAGATGTGATCCCCTACCTGCGCTCCGTCGAGCGCAATTTTGCTCTCGAGCCCAACTTCCTACAAGAGGCTCAAGTAAAACCCAAGCACCGCGCCATCCTCATCGACTGGGTTGTGCAGGTATGTTTTTGCCAGATTGGTTACCCCGGGAGCTTTACTCGTTTTTCACTCAAAATCTCCATTTTAGGTTCATCACCGCTGGGCCTGGCATCCCGAGTCGCTGGCGTTGGCTGTGCACTTGATCGACCAGTACCTCGCCAAGATACCCATCGACCGCAAGGACATGCAGCTGCTCAGCATGGCCGCGTTGTTCATCGCCGGCAAATTTGAGGTACCGCGGCTGGTTGTTCATTTGCAATATCTGTTTCAGGAAACTCACTTGCCCGAGATGCAGGAGTTCGAGTACATGAGCGCGAACAGCTTCACCCGGGAAGACATCTACAAATACGAACAGCGATTACTCCGCTCTATCAACTTCACGCTGTGCCGCCCGGCTCCGATCACTTTTCTGCGCGCTCATTTCACAGAGCTTGCCGTGCCGTCGATCGTCCACCAGAGGGCTCAGTACCTTATCGAGGTAGACTTATCGTGCTTGACTCTATCTTTGTTTAGCTGTGCTTCCAAACGTACGAGCTGTGCCATCTGTTGCCCTCACACATGGCGCTCGTCTCGTTGGCCCTCTCTGCGACGCTGTACGGCCACAAGCTCAACGTGGCTCGTTTTCGTGAAGAGGTTGGAATGACGGTGGTTGCGTACGATGCAGCCGTCGCGGCTCTGGCTACCGCGATCATCGATAACCAAAACCAACAGCGTATCGTCGGCATTAAGAATAAGTGAGTTTTATTTTCCGAAGTAGTATTCCGTATTTTCCTACCTGCTAATCTTTACATTTCAGGTACACGGAGCAGGTCTACAACAAGGTATCCGAGTTCGACGCGGCTACGCTGAAAGAGGTGCATCGTCTCGCCCGGTCAGCCCACTAATTCCGACTTAACGATAACTGTGCCTGTTCTCGTCTTTAAACTACTATATATTTCATCGATACTCAATGTCTTTATGATCGTCTCATGTCTATTAATACTGGTTATCTCCGGCTAAGTTGCCCACACATCCATTTGTCTTTCTTTCTGTGCGCCAAATAAATTGTGAATCGTCAGACATGGGGATAGACAAGTAGATCAACAACGTTTGATTCGAAACGGTATCGAGAAGTGTTTTTCAGTCTTTTGTAATCCCGACTTTGAGGTGGTGACTAAATGACAGAAACGGCAGGTATCCGGGAATTCTTGGACAAAGAACTAGAGGTATTTTTTGGCTTTGTGTCATCGCTTTTTGCTCTAGATTGAGCTGACCGACGGCCGGTTGATACGTGGGCGATTTGTGTGCACGGATAATGTGCCAAACATCATACTAGCCGAGTAAGCTTGACGTTATTATCGTTTAGTAGTATTCGATTTAGCGCAAATGAGAGGTGGAAAGACGAGACGAGCGACGACCCGCCACGCCGAATCGGGCTCGTTCTGATCGCTCGGAAGCATCTGGTCAAGATTGAGCTGATAAAGTGCCTGGATAGTGATGGCAGCGACACAAGGTAATATTTTGCAACTCTCAGGATCCCTTAGCGTTTTAAATTCGGGTCGAAGGAAATTGTGTTCTTTTTCAGTTACGCATAACGATGGGCGGCCAGCCAAGCCCGTGGTTCCTGAGCCACGACCGGTGAAGAATAAATCATTTTCTGTTTTCATCACGTGAAATAAACGGATACGACGATTTATCGAAGTTAAACCAAGCAGAAAACCATGACCATAATAAAAAGTAAAACGAGCTGCAGAGAGCAAACCGAGTAATATCACAGTAAAACTGTTTCAAAGCCAAAATCAACCAGTAGGGGTCTAACCAACACAAATATTACGTGCGAGCGGGCAATGAATCAACCTCTATTCACGAGCGAAAAACGTAACATCCTTCTAACGACATTTCTGAGCTTTGACGGGAACTGGCTTGTTGCCGGCGTTCTTCTTGCTCTTTGCGGTGGGTGGGCGCCCGAGCAGAGTTGCGACCATCTCACCCACGTCGGGCAACTGCAGGGAAAATATATATCTAGCCAGGCGCGAAACACCTTACCTCCGCGGAACCCTTCTCCATCTCTCGCCTCATTTCTTCATCGAGGCTGCCGAAACTGCAAACATTGTCTTAAACAACGTTTGATAAAACAATACCTGCGCACCAGCAAAATCAACAAGCACGGCACGGCCAGCATCCAGAAAGTCGGGTTGCTGAACAGAGTGGCCCACTGGTATTGCGCCCTCGGACGGACATATCTAAAGCTCTGTTGGCTGCCTCAAATAACGTTGCTTACCTAGGAATCCCAAGCGCCTTTATTTGTAGCGGGTACGGAACCAGTTCCACGGCATTTGGCTAAAGAACAGTTGCAAAGTACAGGATCGCGAAAAACCTTCAGCGTCGATAATTGCCGTGCCCGGATGTTGCCTTTGGAGGAGACATCAACGCGGACCTGCTCGAACAGAAGCTCACGATTTTCAACCTCAAGAAATCCCTTTATAAAACGTAGAAGCCGAACAACACCTGCACGATATAGCTGCCGTTAGAGACGCCGCTCACGCTGAAACAACAAAAGTTAGTGCGAGGAGCCAGAAACCGACCGGAAGCTTCCATCGGGTTTTACAAATCCGAGAAATTGACCGTGGTTGAGCATTATGCGGCTGTCGGCGGTCCAACGTCGACCAGCCGCTAGCACGCCGGCGACGCTCAACTAGAAAAAGAGATCAGTTTCGGCCGGAAGAAAAATCGGCCGAAGCAAAAAAGCTAGGTGTCAACAAATGGAGCAATTGGTTCACTTTCGATGGTTGCACCTTACATTTTCTATAGAAATTATCCGAAAAATTACCCGGCCCTCAATGTCGACCATTTGTCTCGACGCTAACGAATTTTCTTCGACGCAACTCCCGCTCATCGCCCACAAAAGCAGCAACACCATTGAGCGCATTGAATGCCACAAATGCTGAACGGCGAACCTTTTCAACGAGAATGCTGGTATGCAACAAAAAGGGCTGCGGCTTTGCGAACACCTGTATCCTGGTAAGCGAGACATTTGGCAACAATATTTATTACGCAACGTAGAAAGCAAAGCGTTAATTTACGCATAATATTAGTAATTAAGTGCTTGTCGAGCCGGGGCCTGGTGCAAATCAAAACTAAAAAAAAATGAGTAAACGAGGAGAAAACGACAAGTATACCTGACGATTGAAGCTGCCACCACGGAAAGCACCGCCGCGATCGTATCCTCCACGACCTCCGCCACGGCCGCCGTCGTAGCCACCTCGGCCTCCATCGTAACCGCCTCGGCCTCCGCCTCTTCCACCATCGAAGTTTCCGCGACCTCCGCCACGACCGCCATCGTATCCTCCACGGCCGCCACCTCGGCCTCCTCCATAGCCGCCAGCGGGCGGATCTGGGAAGTTGAACGTGGTGAAGCCGCCGGCAGGCATATCCTCGAAGTCCGAGCCACCTTCCACTGAAAAAAATACTGAACGGCAACTAGACAAGCACTTACACATTTTGGCAGGGCGCTGCGACGGTGTGACCGGAGTGAGCACGGACTCTTCTTGTTTCTCCAAGGCCACGTTCTGCTGTTTCATGCCAAGCTGAAAAATAACAAACCCGTTGAAAAAAATCAAATAACATACCTTGGGGAGGGTAGCAATGTCGGGGCGAGCCAGTGGAGTGCTTTGGAGAGGAGCCAGGCCAACAGGAGCCTGAACCAAAAATAAAATTTTTTTTTGAAAGATTACCGATATGGTTTCAATTTTGAGCTCATCCATGAGAGGAACAGGGTTGGGAGTGGCAGTTGGTAGCCCAAAAGTCGCCGCCTTGGTGATGATCGTCGGCAGGTTATCTGAAGCGAAAATTGCTTACCAAAAAAAATCACTTACCAGCAATGGACCTCGGCATATCCGAAACGACCGGCGGGGCCGGTTTGGCCGTTTCCATAGCGAATGGCTTGAGAGGTTCAGGCGCTGATTGCTGGATGACCGGGACCGAAGGTGGAGCTGGTTGCGAAAATGTCGGTTCAACAACGGTTGGCTTGATAGTAGGAGCGACTTTGACGGGTTGAATGTCGACTGGCTGGCTCTGCGGGACCGGAACATCTGTGCCCACATCTGGCAGCGAGTTGTTGAAACGGTCGTGTTGCAACTGCGACTTGAAGATTGGACCCGAGGAGCTCTTCAGAAATGCGATGACGGCCGGCAGCTCGTCGCTGATGGTGATGAACGGGCTCGAGACATCCATGATGTTCTAAAGCAGGTTCCAAAAACGTTAAATAAAACGAACCTTGAAGAGCGTGTAAATGATCTCGAAGAGCACGTTGAACTTGCTGGCCTTCACATCGTGAGCCTTGAGCTTAGCGAGAGATTGACGAAGGCAATGGAAATATCCGTCTATGACGGTCGCCTTGTATTCATCCTAAAAATACAACGTGAAGAAGAAAAAAACAGCGCAGACCTCATCAGATGGCATGCCTTTCCCATCGAACTCAAGCGGCTCGCCGAAGACTCCTTCACTGATCGGCGGGCTATTGAACACCGCAGCAAAGTTGTCGCCGGTGATGGCAAGCTTCTTGGCCGGATCGTTTTCCGCGGGATCAGCAAGCCCAGCGAAGACCTGTGATAGCACCACAAGGTATTGCAGGAAGTCCTAAAACGAGCTCAGGTGAAGGGGACTTCAATACCTTTAGATATTCTTCTTGGCCGGCACGAGCGGTGATGTCTTGAGCCATGGCGAATGCCACTTGCCAGTCGCCAACTGCCAAAGCCTTCGAGAACCTAAAACGATGATTTAATACGAGAATATGGACGAACGTGAGACGTATGTTGGCCATGGCCGGCGCCTTCAGAGGCTGGTTCTCCTTCTTTACGGTCAGAAGAGCCAAACGGTAGAGAGTGACCTTCAAACAGTTTTAAAAAATAAAACCGTAATTACCAGGTCGGCACGTGAACTGTTTGGCGCCTTCAGAAGTTTCTCAAATTCGGCCTCGATGTCGAGCGGTCCTTGCGACTCGGTGGCAGCGGCGCTCGGCACGACATCAGGGAGAACCGGTTCCTTTATGGCCCAACGGGCGTGCAGCCTCTTCGTCAAGGAATGAGTGTTGCCGAGAAGGACCGACGAGATGATAAAGGCATCCCTAAAACACAATGGTGGACCAAAAAATAGTCTTACTGAATGCTCAAGAAGTCGGCGTGGCCTGCGATCTGCGGCAGAAGCGTGCTCGGGTGAGTAACGTGGCAAAGATGATAGCGAGCTACGGCACGAGAGAGGGGCGACTTGCATGCAGCGCTCCATTCTCCCAAGTACACAGCCACGTCTTTTCCGCTGTCTTCTAAAAGAAAGGATAAGCCAAATATTGAAATTTCACCAGCCCATTTGAACACCTCCAGTATGTCGTGCTTGAGGCCCTTCTTCTCGGCGTAGAAGCTGGCTTTGGCCGGCTTGCCAAGAACGATGCACATGTCCAGCAAGCGCTGCTCGGCGTCCGGAACGCGGTCGTCCATTCCCTTGAGCACATCCTCGAATCCGATCGGCAAATTGCCGACGATCTTTTCGTAGAAGGTTGGCGCGCCGACTTCCTCGTTGGACGGGGCACTCTCCACGAAACGGGCCAGCTCGGGCACGAGAGTGCTTCCGCATTCGGTCTCCATCTTCTTCAACTCCGCCTCGATACCGTTCGGTTGAGCCTTCGACGAGCGCGTCCTGGCGAACGCGGTGAAGTAGTTGCCGTCCCGATCGGCCGGACGGTCAAGTTCCTGGCCAACTAAAGAATTTTTGTGGCCAAATGAATCAAAATACCTCCAGCAAGCAAATCCATTTCGATTCCCATGAGGTCTGCAAAAAAGAGATGTTGGACAATCAAAAATAAAAAAAAATAGAAGTAGGGAAAGGAAGAAGAAAAGAAAACGCGCAAAAGTCAAGTTCAAAAATAAAAAACTACTCGAAAAAATTTCGATTGGCGAGAAATTCGAAATCGCGAACCTTTTTGAGGAGCCACCGTAACGAAAAATGGTCCCGCAACGAGGCCGTGCCGGGGCGTTAGTTGTACAGTTTCGTACTAGAAAAACTAATTTGGAATTTTGAGCTTTCGAAAATGGTGGCAAATTTAGAATCTTCTTTTCTAGTTAGAAAAAAAATTATAATTTATAATTTAGAAATTTTGAATCAGAAAAAATTTTAAATTTTCAAAATTACCCTATATACCCGGAAATCACTCCTACCGCCGCCAAAATGCGCATTCTTCGGATCAGCCCCAAGCGGTCGTCGGCGCGTCGGGTTCACCGGGCGTAAGTTTGCAGTTTTTGCCCCAAAATACCGAATGTTTTTGTAGTTTTTACGAATAGAAAGGATGCCACGCGCTGCTGGTGTGTTAGCTCCGCGCTATCGTCGGGCTGCCGGTAGGAGCTGTTTCGATTCTTCAAAAAAATTCTTTTTTGTTTCAGCAGCCGAGGCGGCCAAGGCTTCGGCCGAAGATGATGGGACCCAGGTCGAGCGCCCCTCCCGCCCCGCCGCCAAGAAGTCAGCGGCCAACGTCAGCAAGAAGCGCGCCCCCAACAAGGACGAAAAGTTTGAGAAGGCCCTGCGACAGTTCGCCCTCGATAATATCAAGGTTAGGAGTTGTTCTTGGTGACAAAGAGAGAAGGAACACTTGTAAAAACATTAGGGTTCTTTCGCATTATCCCGGGAGGGATTTTTAACAGCCTAGAAATGTCTATTAGCTTAGTAGGAAGCGTTTTAATTGTTTGTTTTTTTGGTCAAATATGGCTATTTTTCAAGCAGAAAAACTACAGGGTGTATCAAAAAAAAGTTCCGAAGTTTGTCCCCGAATAACTCGAGAAGGAAAAATATTTCACCATGCGTTACCATGCCAGAATGCTTAAATATGCTGGGTATGAAGATTTAACACAACTTGATTTTTTCGATTTTTGAGTACGCAACTGTACTATTGACGCTGATTACGACCGAAAATTGTGCGTTCTTGAACGGGTGGTGGGAAAATTCTGATTTTTGGCCTAAAAATTGCTGATATTTGTACAAAGCTAACGGCCAAGTCTTATAATTTTGCAAGCTCTACTTCTTTTTTAACAAGGAAAACAAAGTTCACTATTTTTGTATCTTTTGACATTTTAATTCTCAACTCGCTTCAAATACGCTGCCCATGGCTGATTTTTTGCAGATGGTGTCTCCGAATGATAATCTTTAGAACAACACCAAATTTTACCCGATTCTATGGTATTTTTCTATTGCTTGCTAAAACGTGCCCCAGAGGGATACTGTAGTTTTCGTTTTTCGCGTTTTTCTTTTTATTGTAAGCTGCGATTTTGCTTAAAATTTTTTCATTATTCAACACCAGTAAGTGTCACCTATGGGCTAAGTATCGCGAAGTTCTAGCCATACGCTTTCCCAAAAGATGCAAAAAAACTGATTTTTGAATTTAGCCACGGAAATGTCTAAAAATTTTGATGCATCTGACCAAAAACTAATATTATTTGTTTTCCCAAAAGATCGAAACATTTCTATGGTGAAAAGAACGAGAAAACGGCGATTTTCTGTTTTCTACAGTAACCCGCCTGGAGCGCATTTTAGCATGCCAAGACAAAATTCCATAAAGTGACGGTTTTTCGATTCTAGACTGTTCTTTGGGTGATTGTAAGAGCACCTACAAAAAATTACTTGATTCCTGTGGCAAATGACAAAGTTATGAAGGAAAGAGGAAAACCCCCCTCGGACCCCGATTTTGGACCCGAGGCCCCGGGCTGAAAATCGAATTTTTGAAAACGAAAAAGGCACCGGGGTTTGGTGGATACAATTAAAGCACGCATCGAATTGTGTATGAAAGCAAAATTCTGGAATGATCTGGCTGAAGTTAATGGTTAATTTTGATTTAAAACCCGAAAATAACGTTTTTGAAAAGCTGACTTTGGCGAGCTCTTCTAAATTCGTTAGCCATGAAAAGGTTTTGCATTTGCATGGGTTTTAGTTGATTACCCAAGCTTGGTCTATGCCAGAAAAGTCGGGGCTACTAAACCCTCGAGAATTTTTTTTTAAGTTGCGTCAAAGTCGGGTATATTTTGACTCTTCATGAATTTCTTTTGAAAGATCGGATGGCCCAATAAATTTTTAAATATAATCATAGAATGCGCCCATTAAGTAAAATGCAATAAAATTATGACAATAATTCTAGCCGCGCAAATGAATTTTATAGACTGGCACCAAGGTCTGCGAAATAGCACGAACCAACCGTTTTGGAGGCGCTAAAAAGCAACCTTCCAAAGGGGTACGGTAGCTAGAAATTGTGTAAATGATAGATGGACCCCAGTAGTACACAACCAAGCTAAGCAAACACCCAAATCCTATCTGCAATTTTAGAAATATTGTTCCAAAGTTCGGTTTCGGGACCTCGAAAAAATCCATGACCAGGGGGTCGTTGAAAAACTTGAAAATTCATTAATCTCAAAAAATTCTTTGAAGTGTTTGTGCGATTGTACGGAGCTTGTAGGTATTCCAGAACAACCTATTTTGCGGTTCCCGCCATAAGTTTTTTTAGTATTCGATATTTACGAAATTTCTCCATACTAAATTTGAGCGCGCTATAACTTGCCAACCAGACCTTCGAAAATTCCAAAATTTCGGATGTGCGTAGGGGCAATTCTTATGTATCCACACTGTAAAAACTGAAACCGCTCGACCACCAACAATTCAGAAAAATGCAACCGAAGTTTTGCCGGAACGCACAGTTTTCGGGTGTCATTTGTATTGATACGTCGCCAAAAATCGAAAAAATCAAGTTGTGTTAAATCTTCATACCCAGCATATTTAAGCATTCTGGCATGGTAACGCACGGTGAAATATTTTCCCTTCTCGAGATAATTGGGGACAAACTTCGGAACTTTTTTTTGATACACCCTGTATACAAACATTGAAAATTGCTTAAAATTTTTACTTTTTTGAAAAAGCGACTCTTTTGGTTGAAAACGATTTTTTATAACATTTTCTAAAGTTTTCAAGTTCACTTTCACTGTTTATACTAGAAAAATTGGATCCTAAGAAAAGCCCCCCCCCCATAATGCTAAAGAGTCGAAAAATTAGAATGACTGGTCGTTTTATACACAACTTTTTTAGTTAACCGTGCCGAAGATGGTCGACGAGTTCGTGGCGATCAAGACGGATACGCAGGGCATCGGCAAGTACACGAAGGCCGCCTTTGACGCCAACCCCGAGAAGAATCGCTACAAAGGTTGGAACATCGCTCATGTATGATTTCTTGTTGTCATGGTCTCTAGATGTGTACTGCGTCGATGGCAGTCGTGTGGTGCTGAATTGGCCGGCCAGCAAGAGCGACTACATTCACGGAAACTGGGTTCACATTCCCGAGAAGCGCCGGTCAGTCTGGTGTTTTCTTTGCGGTTTATTTTGCTTTTCCAGTTTCATCTGCACACAGGCGCCGACCGAGACCACGATTGAGGACTTTTGGCGCATGGTAGGCGGTGGTTTTTTCAAGGTAGAGACTTTTCCTTTCTCAGATGTGGCAAGAAAAGTGCCGTTCGATCGTCATGCTGTGCAATTTGGTGGAGCAGGGGAAGCGCAAGTGCGAGCAGTACTGGCCGAATGAGAAGGGGACTACGGTGAGCAAAAAAAACCTGGACTGTTAGCGCGGGGGATTTTGTTTTTCACGCCTACATGGCCAAATTTTCGAAATATAGGATCGTACAAAATTTTTCGTGAAGGATTTGTTTCTCCCCGCTAACAGTCCAGTGCCTAAAAATACGGCGGATCCATGGGAAAGTGGAGTCCAAGATTTGCTAAAATTATTTTTAGATGGACTCGGGCCCGGTGAGCGTCAAATGTCTGTCGATCCAGGACGTGGAAGAGGTGTTGACGTTGACGCGACTCGAGCTGACCACCGCCGAGTCGAAGGACACGCTGATTGTCGAGCATTTGTGCTGGAACAATTGGCCGGATCGTGGCGTGCCGCCCAACTTCCTCGCCTGTCTCCGTCTCATCAATCGCGTCAAGGATTTGACGCCGATCGTCGTGCACTGCTCGGCCGGTTGGGCTTTAGAATCTATTTAATTAAGTTTGTTTGTAAGAACCAATTTTTTCAATAGAAATAGCGGAAGTGTTCCTAAGCCGTTTGTACTATTATTAAAGATAAAAACGTTACAAATTTTTAGTAAAAGATACTAAAAAGACCGAGTTTTCGGCCAAATAGGCCAATTTTTTACCAAAATGTCGATTTTTTTTTTCCAAACGTTTCAAGGTTTTTAGATAGTTTGTTAGTTACAATATCGTTTTATTTTACAAAACTTTAAGGAAATGAATGAAAGAACCCTTCATTTTCTAGGTATCGGGCGCACCGGGACGATCGTCGGCCTGGACGTGATCATGGCTCGTCTTCAGAAGGGCGAGAATTGCACGGTGGACAAGGTGGTTCGCGAGCTGCGCGATGCTCGTCATGGCAGTGTCCAGGTTCGAAAATTTCAGCAATTCCTTGGAATGCGATTTAGATGGACATTCAATACGTCTACATCGCCCGCGTGCTCATCGCTTTGGCCGAGAACAAGAAGGTGATTATTCGAAGGGGGATATTTTTTTTGGCACATTATCTTGCGGAAGCGTATCGGCCCAAGAAACCTGTTTTCGTTTCCAAAGCATTAGAACTTACACCTTATTTTTCAGCTGGTGACAAAGGAGGAGCTGCGCGATTGGCTGGCCGACTACGAGACGCTGTGCAAGGCTCGCGGGTGCTGAACGACAACAACAAGGATGACGACTACTAAAACTGGAGCTGGATCCGCATGATGATGATGAAAATTATTAATTGCAGTTGACAATGGCTGATAAAGTTTTCTAGTTAATCGTGTTATGGATCGATTTAAAGGAATGAAAGGCAAGAATCCGTAGTTTTCCTTCCCCTAAAAAACGGTTTCCGGTCAGATCAGTGTTCAAGTAGCTGTTGGGGTGGTGTATTGGTATAACTTCTCTCCAGACGCGTGGGGTCAAAACAGAGGAGTCATTTGGAGTGGAGTGTACATATCCGGGCCACCGGGTGAGTACCGCGACCACTCCCCGATATACCTCTCCGTATCGCCTCTCGATTAGTCACTTCTCAACACCCTCTCGACATGGCGGGGGCATCTTGTAAATCATCTCTGCTAGCTTGCTCCGGTGTCCTCAAAGATCCCTGCTAGCCTGTCCTCTCCTTTTCCTCAACAATATCTGCTAGCTTGCCCAGATACGTATCGGTTTCCCAAAATATTTCTGCTAGCTTACCTCGGGTGCCAAAGATTTGCAAAGGATCTACGTTATCTCAACTATGTTGACCTAACAGAGTTCCTGAAAAATCTCTGCTAGCCTGCTAGGCTGATTCCTGATTTTCTCAAAATCGCTGCCAGCCTGCCCCACCCGTAGCTGCTGCCAGGCACCATATCGATGTTGAATGCACTCATCATCGTTACGGGACCCTCTCTTTCCTTCCAGATGATCGTGGGGGGATATGCATGTTGCGAGGGACACTTGAGAGGGACTATGGCTAGACCCCCAGCAGTGCCCGAAACACACACATCCACAAATATCACCAATCAACAGAAGGAGAGGAGAGAGAGAGAGCAAGAGAGAGAGAGAGAGAGAGAGAGAGAGAGAGAGAGACGGCCATCAGAAAAACTCGCAACCGAATTTTCAAGTCATTAATTCTAACCAAATACATTTTGTAAGTCTGGTTCATCCCCTTCCTCCAGTTTTTTTTGCGTTCCAAGACGGTCTCCCCTAGCCTGCCTTGAGATTTTATTTTTACGTTATTTAAACAGAATCCCCCAAGCAAGGGAGGGGTTATCTTTGTTGTTTTGAGGAAATAAGTTTCAAGGACCGAATGAACTCCGAAATTCATATTCTCGAAAACTCGCAAATAGGTTGATCCAAGAAAAAAATTAGTTTCAAGCATTCATATCGACTTCATGTTCCGATTCTCGAGATCCCGATCCCGATTCTTCCTTTTGAGCATTTTCATTATATTTTATGCCGGCCTTCTCTCTCTCTCTCTCTCTCTCTCTCTCTCTCTCTCTCTCTCTGATGTAAATAGCCGTTTTGTGTTGGGCGGGTGATGGTGGAGACCCGGTGGGCGGCTGGATGACCCTCAGGCTTCAGGCTGGACACGAAAAGAAACAAATTCCCGGGAGAGAGAGAGCGAGTGAGAGAGAGAGACTGATAGACAGACAAACACAGGCAAACCGTCCGAAATCCTGAAAACATCCTCCACTGTGTGTTCAAAACGGCGTTCAGCCCCAATTTTCTCTAGCCTATTTCTGAAACGGTTTTGTTTCTACGGTTTTCTAGCTGAAAAGGCTAGCTAGCAGAGATTGTTGAGGAACAGGAGAGGGCAGGCTAGCCGCAATATTTGAGGAAATTCCGGACCCGCGGCCCCAATTATCTTTGATCCATGGAGTGATCTATCGCTCTTCGTCTCTCTTCTCTCTCTCTCTCTCTCTCTCTCTCTCTCTCTCTCTCTCTGTCTCTCTCCGCTCTCTCGCTGTATGGGTGGTCAGACTGGCTGCCATCCCGGCTGTCAAATGGTCGCGTATCCAAATATACCGTGTCCCCGCCAAATGACGCCCGAATTTCCGTCCTCTTCTTTCTTTTTTTTGCGCAGCTTTTCTCGAATCCGGTCCGGGATCCCGGGCGCTTTTCACACGGGTATCAATCGATAGGTTGGGGGCAAGTTTCGAAATTTTAGTCCTCAACAATCTCTGCTAGCCTGCCCTCTCCTCTTCCTCAACAATCTCTGCTAGCCTGCCCTCTCCTCTTCCTCAACAATCTCTGCTAGCCTGCCCTCTCCTCTTCCTCAACAATCTCTGCTAGCCTGCCCTCTCCCCTTCCTCAACAATCTCTGCTAGCCTGCCCTCTCCTCTTCCTCAACAATCTCTGCTAGCCTGCCCTCTCCTCTTCCTCAACAATCTCTGCTAGCCTGCCCTCCCCTCTTCCTCAACAATCTCTGCTAGCCTGCCCTCTCCTCTTCCTCAACAATCTCTGCTAGCCTGCCCTCTCCTCTTCCTCAACAATCTCTGCTAGCCTGCCCTCTCCTCCTCCTCAACAATCTCTGCTAGCCTGCCCTCTCCTCTTCCTCAACAATCTCTGCTAGCCTGCCCTCTCCTCTTCCTCAACAATCTCTGCTAGCCTGCCCTCTCCTCTTCCTCAACAATGCTTTAAAAATCTATTTTTCTCAAATTTTGGGAAATTCGTAGCAACGGAGAATTCTGATTCATGTGTCTTCTGTCCTACCATTTCAAAGCTGTTGAATATCATTAAAAATAAATTAAAATATAAGTTTATCGATCTAGAAGCACCGACTCGCCCGCGCGGCTGCATGCCGCCCCGATCGCCATGGCCGTGGACAATTTGGTGAGTGTGGAATTTTGCAAGATTTCCCTTGCTCTCGCGTTCTCTTTCTTTTTCTCTTCTCGCAACCGCAAACCGAGAAAAAATAATGTTATAATCAACTCCAAAAATAGAAAAGTCCTTTCGTGGTCAATGGGACAGCGTCGATTTTCGGTGCTTCCTGGTTATCGGGGGTCGGTTATTTTAGCGGGGGTCGGTTGCGAACTTTTTTTCTATAATATCGCACGGCTCGGCTAATTAAAAGCTGGCCGTTTTTATAGACTTGTGCGCCGTTTGAAATGGTTCTGGACTGTTAGCGGGGGAGGAGACATTAAGAAAAACGTCATAAAACATGTTGAAAAAATTTTTCTTTTTCGTTCTAACGTATATGAAAATGGCTAAAACCGCGCTATAACCCTAGATTTCGTGACTATAGAATAAATATTTTAATAATTTTTGATTATCGGAAGCTACTAAAAACAGTATTAAAATAAACTACAATTTATCACTAGGCAATTATAAGCTAAACAAAAAGAAGATGCCAACCGACCCCCGCTAAAGTAACCAACCCCCGATAACCAGGAAGCACCCGATTTTCTAAGCTAAAAATAATACATTTATCTCAATTATCGATTTAATAGCAAATCATCTACTCTGTAAGAACATGTCGACACGCTAAACAGCACGAAATCTGCGGTAATAGCATAATTAAATTTTCAATTAAATTGAAAGTAAAACATCATTTTCCTTTCAGGCGATCGAGATGCGCCCCCTCTACGGCGAGCAGCACATTGACATCGATCTCGATGGGCATGATGCCGATTTTATCGGGGGTACGTGATTTTTAAAGGGCCGGGCAAGGCAGGCATTTTTAAGGAATTTTGCGGGTTGGGATTACGCAATGAAAAGCGTAGGATCGCGTTACGTATCGGATCCGCGCCAAAATCTCTAGGGACTGTGAACAAGACAATTTTGCCTGCCTTGTCAGTCCCTTTAAAAAGCGGGCAACAATTTTTCCTAAGAACCTCTGCTAGCCTGCCTTGAAAAATTAGCAAAGCACAAAATATTATTGAGTTATCCATTAGATATTGATCCTTGTAAATAGGCGAAACATGCGTTTACTACAAGTTAGCATAATTTTCAATTTAGGCCGCAATTCAATTGTAAAAAATCATAGTTAGATTTTTCAACGATTTTTGCCAAATTAGATTTTTACAAAATAAGCGCCTCCGAAAATTATTTTTTTGCAAGTGTCGAGGATAAATTATCGACAGCATTGTCCGTTTCATCCTTGATTCTTACGAAACATTTTTCTGCTCGGGTTTCGCATTAACAAAAAACAGCAAATTTTCTGAATTCGATGTTTTTAGTATATTTTTTGATGATTGTTAGTAGGTTGATTTAATAGTTCTTTTTCAAGGAATGATTAAGCCAGACATTCCAGCAGTTCTATCGTGAAATTCAAGGCACTAATTGAAAACGATATCGTTGGGCTGCATGGATTATTAAGAAAACATAGGTTTTCAGCATAGAAGGGTCTGAAAAATCAGTGTTTCTCATAACTCAGCCTATACAAAAATTTTTCAATGTAGCATAGGCTATTAGAATAGTCGATCGCACATTTAGTAACCAATTTATGGTTAAAAATGGTATGAAAATTTTTAGAAGCAGACCCGGATCCCTCGGATCCGACCATTGTGGTCATGCGCACCAAGAAGATGAATGGTATTTGAGGAATTCCGCTGAAAATCCCGGCACCCATAATCCCGACCGTCAATAATCCCGACATGCCAAAATACCGACAGATTCTTGGCGCTAGTCTGAATGTAGCTTCCCATTAAACAGCGATTTTTCATGTCGGGGTTTTGATTTAATTGTCTTTTGGCTGTCGGTATTTTGCTCGATCGGGATTTAGGTTGTCGGCATTTTTGCTGTCGCTATTTTTGCCTGCCGGGATTTTTGCTCTCGGGGTGTTCGCATGTCGGCATTTTAGCCGAGGGATTTTGGCTTTCGGGGGATTCGGCTGTCGGTTTTCTGGCCAAGATTTTGGTTTGTCGGCATTTTGGCCTGTCGGAATTTCAACGTTTTCCCCTATTTGGGGTTGAGCCTGTGAGATTTGCATGAATTTCGGGGGTTTTTTCCTATTTTAATGTCGGGCTGGATTTTCACAAACTTGTCGGAACTTGGTCTTAATTTTTGGCCTTCCTCGAAGGTTTGATACTACACAAATATTTGTTCAAAGAAATAATGTCCGAAAAATATTTTTGAAATTTGGGCGTCCGTCCCATGAATCCAATTAAAAATTTAATAGGATGAGGTAGTAGTATTCTTAAAAAATGTTCCAAATGAAACGCCAGTTTGACCAGATCTTTGCTGCTTTAATAACCATAGGCATTTATGTTTTTAATTAATTTTTAATCTAATTAAATTTACGCTTCTTGGTTAGTCATGTTTTTCGAAAGAATAAATGTTTCAACTTTTTCTAATATTTCGAAAATATTCTCGCTTTTAATTTGACAAGGTTTGAGACGTTTTCGCTACGAAAGTCATTTCGGGCGTGGGTCTTTTCCGGCACTTGAAATTAAGCTACGTGAAAACCTAATCAATTAAATCTTCAGGTTCGTACATCCAGCTGATCCAGCCGGAAGATGAGAACCCAAGGAAAAGCCTCTCGGCCAGCGTGCGCGAGTCGGCACGGTCTACTTTGTCGAAAGTATCTAGGGCGTAAGTGTTTAAGCCTAAGCTTAAGCCTAAGCATACGCCTAAGCCTAAACCTAAGCCTCTGCCTTTACCTAAGCCAACCTAAGCCTAAGCCTAAGCCTAAGCCTAAGCCTAAGCCTAAGCCTAAGCCTAAGCCTAAACATACGCCTAAGCTTAAGACCGAGCCTAAGCCTAAGCCTAATCCTAAGCCTAAGCATAACCCTAAACGAAGCCGAAGCCTAAGGCCACGCATCCGGCTTTTTTGGGCCTTTCGACTTCCATCTCTTAACCGATCGCCAAACCTCTAAGTTTTGTTAAAACCTGAATCATCAAAGTTACAGTTAAACTCGTCACAACATTTTCTTTTTAAAAGTTTTTATTTACACTTATAATTTAGCTGAATTATGATACGACAACAGGCTAAAAAAAATTGTGGAAAGATATTTTCCCGAAGGTTGGAAGTTCGATGAAACATCAAAATCAAAGAAATTCGTGCCAAAATAAAATTGGTCCGGCTTTTAGGATTTTCGACTCTCGGATTCCTAATTTTTATTTCATACGTTTTTATGAAAAAGAAATAGTATTATTGGGTCGTATTTTATTATTGATTGCTTTCAAAATAATCAGCATGAAATTTAGACGTCGAAAATGGTGGCGCGCGCTGAAGCCGCTGAAAACGATTTTATTCAAGCTGAAGCTATTGTTCGTCATTGCATTATATTCCCTATTCGGCGCCTGGCTATTTATGCATTTGGAGGTGGGGAATTTAATAGAATTAAAAATCAATCAAAAATTTAAAAGAATAAAGAAATTAGATTGAGAATTTTTTGGCATAATTTTAATAGATGACTAAAAACCCTAACTCGAATGTATTTTTTTTCTGCGGTTTGGCCAGTTGGAATTAAATTGATGTGTAAATCAAATAAGATCGAAACTAAATGAAACATTAAATCGAAATCAAAAATAACTATAAAAATTAAGTAGATGGCCTATTTGACCCAAATTAAAATCGTATAAAATCTTTTAAATTCGCTAAAATTAAGCCTGGAGCTTTTTCAAAAATTGAAGAACTGTAAGAATTTTGTTTTGGTTTCATAAATTTATTATCCTTATAAAAAATTTTATCAATTGAAGGTACCAACCGACTTGGCAAAAAAGGAAAAACAATTCAACCAGCGCTTCATCGCCCGAGATGACCTGGTGATAAGGTATATGCGTCAAATGTAAATTAACATCACCTCTCCTACTTTTACCATAGTTTTGATTGAAACCATTTTTTTGAATATTGAATATTTAAATTCAAAATGTTCGATTTATTTAACAGAAACAGATTTTGTGTTACTAATTATTTTCCCCGGGGCTTTGAATTGACTTTTACCGAAACAGTTTTTTGAGATTCGAAACGCAATTAGAATTAAAGATAAATAAAATAATGTATGTATAATGTTAGTAAATTACAATTAAATATTTTTTGTTGGCTGTGGATTATAGATTTTTGCACGCACCGCTTAGCGGCGTAACCTGTTACGCAATAAATGGGTAAGCATCCGTTAGGTGTTTGCGTGCGACTGATATATTGGGAGTCAGAAAAAGCCAGCAAAACCAACAGACGCGACTTGCTCGTCGCTTTAATTCCAGCAGCATAAATAAAGAATTATTTTAGGCATCTTTTTTCCGTTTAGACTGTGAATGAAAAGCCTGATCACATCCGATCGCAAACATTGCCCCATTAATTTTTTCTAGCTGTTTTTAGGAATTACCTGAGTAGAAACATATTTTTTTTTATAGCTGATATTTTTAAATGATCAGTTTCGTCTTTGAAAACGCCTTTTTGACATGAGTTTACTACGCTCACTTAGCGTCCTCAAATCTAGGAAGGGTCTGAAACATTTTTGGGGTAAATTTGTTACTCGGGTTAGATTTTTTGGACTGTTAGAATTTTCAGCAACACCTTCTTTTCCAGGCTCCGCGGCATCCATCAGGACAACCGGGAAAATAGGGAGGAGAAGTGGAAGGAGGCCATCATCAGCTTTGAGCAGAGTTTGGGTAAGATTTTGGTGCTTTGGCATTAACGGGGGGGGGCAATATTGTCTAGGTAATTTTTAAAAACAAAGAAAACAGACTTCTAAACTACTGAAAAACTCTTCTATTTCGTAAAAACAAAATGGCCGAACAGAAATGGCCGATTTTCGACCAAAACTTGAAAATCTAAATTTTTAGAAGGATTTACCAGTTAATTTAGTGCAATTGAACTTTTAAACAATATTAAGCTTTTTGAAGCGTTTAAACTGTTTTTTAAGACATCCCCATAAAAAAAATCCATATTTCTCGACTCCCCCCCCCCCCGATAACGGAAAAGAACCTCATTAAGTTGCTTTTCGATTAATTTTCTTTTTTTTCTTCTGATGTGACTATTTGTCGTTTAGCTACCTTCTTGAAATACAAATTAATTGTATTTTTCAGACATGGACGAGCCGGTCATCGAAACCTCTTGGACCTTCTGGATGTCGTTTTTGTATGCGGGCACCATTTTTACGACTATTGGTGGGGTGAAACATCTAAAAATTTTACTAAAAAATATTCTTTTTAGGCTACGGTAATATCGCATGCGCGACGACGGCTGGGCAGGTAATAAATTTGGTTATTTTTCATTAAATAGCAAAATAAACCGTAACAAAAACGGAAAGTTAGAAAATTTTGTTTAAGAAAAACTTGTTTTATTTCTAAGTGAAAGCTGCAATTTTTAGTTAGGTAATTTGCTGCATCGGCCACAAAAACTAGTGGATCCGTTACAAAAGGCGAAATGTGAGCGTGCAAGAATATATAAAAATATGTTTCATTTTTAATTAAAAATTAAAAATTTTGACGGCAATTAGTCTCAGCACTGCAAGGCATTCCGTTTCAGCTCGAACTAAAATAGTTAAACAGTTTGGTTATGATTATATGATTAATTTAGTTTAATTTCTATTTTAATCACATTATATTGAGGTAACAATTTTGATGATTTATCAGCAAATACCAAGTCAACTGCAAAAACTAACAACTTAAATTTTTTAGAAAAACCTCTTATTTTTCTTTAAAAAGGTAAAGGTTTAGCCAGGTAATTTCTTTGTATCAACTATAAAAACTAGATGGACAACCACAAAAAACCTAATTTTAGCGGGTAATAATTAAAAAATAAGTTTCAGATTTAATACAAAAGTAAAAATGTTTGGCCGCAAGTACTAAGTATCTAATTGATTTTTTAAACTAGCTTAAATAATCTGGCAATGATAAAATAATTTTATTTGATTTTAATAATTCTCGTGATTTGATGTATTTAGGTGGCCACCGTAATCTACGCGATATTCGGCATCCCAATAATGATCGTGATTTTGAACGACCTGGGGGATGTGCTCCTGTTTATGGTGAAGGGGTTCACGAATGGCGTGGCCGATGTTTCACTTTTGATATGTAAGTTATTGATTTTTGTGGTAACGATGATTTATACCATAAAATAACAATATATAATTCGATAAAATTGGCAAACCCATATAAATCCATCAATTACTAACCGCTTTTTGGTACTGGACTATTAGCGGGGGGCCTAACTTTTAATTTCTGGCTGATTTTTACCTGTTAATGGTTTTAATGTATGTTTACATTTTTTTTTAGTAGTTTTGACTGCTAGAAAGCTACAAAAATATTATAAAAAAACATTGAAATGTTTATTTTTTGATATTTTTCCCAAAAAGAAGATTTTGATGTCTAAAAAACTACTTAAATGTTGTTATACGGATTGCTGAGAAAAATACTCAGCCCCCCGCTAACAGCTCAGTACTGCAATTTTTGTAAACTACTTGACAGCTAAAGAAGCGGGATTCCAAAATTTTTTTGTATTTTTTTAATATTTCACGCTTAGCATTGGCAAACACCAGTTGAAAAACGCGCCTTGGATTAGAAAATTGGGGGCTTAAGAAAAATTACCCCCGATAATGCACAAGCGCATTTTAATTAACTTATTTTTCCAATTCTTCAGCGGTGAAGCTCGGTTTTTACGGTCTGGAGGAGGACGCGGAGCAGCGGAAGCGCTACAACCACATCATGAAGAGATTGGGGCAATATGGGCTTGCCGACGCCACTTCGCTCAGCACCCTCACTACCGTATGTGATTTGTATAAATTGAAGAGTTTTGAAAAAAACGAAACTTAAAAATGCGAAAAACTGACGAAATTAAGTGTTTTGTGCATTTGCAGGAAAATGCGCTATCGAAGGACGGGGCCGAGGACGATGACGATGAGGTGAAGCGGGACCCGCCCGTTATTCAGGCCGTTGTCGCGACCATTGGGTGAGCTATAAAACATAGATTTTTCTTAAAAAAAATAATTTTTTAAAAATTAATTAACTCAAGTTGCATTTTAAAATTTTTTACAACGAATACAATTTGATTTTCACCAATACGTTTTTATTCAACGGTTTTCGATGCAAAACAGATAAATTTGTTAGTAAAATGACTGTATAGGTTTTTAATGTTGTCTATGTGCTGGATTGGCCAGGGCGGCGCCACTCGGGATTTAATTTTTTTTGAAACATACTTTTTTAGAATCCGTTTAGTAAAATTTCAAACGGACCCGCCACCTTTAATCTCTATGAAACATGATTTTTTGTCAGCTGGATAATGTTCGCGTCGGCGGTGTTTTGCCTGTGGGAAGACTGGAGCTACTGGACGAGCATCTACTTCTTTTTCATATCCACCAGCACTATTGGTCGGTTAAAAAAGGGATTAATTCTGTTCTTACCTCGAAACACTTTCAATAGATCATGGATTGAATTTTAAAGGCCATTAAATTTTAAATTCTTTCAAAATTTTAAAGCTTAATTTTTAAACAAATTTAATCAATTTAATTGATTTGAATGTTTTACCTTTTCAGGCCTCGGCGACGTGACCCCGGCCCATCCAGAGTACATGATTGCCACGTTTATGATTGGTGGGTGGAATTGAATTTTAATTCGGTTTAAGCCAATTTGGATTTGGCCAAACGTCTTTTAAAATGTTATGAATTTTTAGAGAAATTCCAGGCAATTTTTCTCAAAACATGTTTCAAACTAGAATTATTAGCTGAGATCCACCCACCGCCGATTATAATTTTTTCGAAAAGTCCGATAAAGTCAAGGATTAAAACATGTTTTTTTTCTGGCACCCCATTAAAATTGAAACCACCAAAATTCACACACACAAGTTTTTATATGTTTTGACTTTTTCGGAGCAGAAAACCTCCAGAAATATTCTCCAAAAATTTAATTTTAGGTCGAAAAATTGATTTTTTTAAAAGAGAAATAATTAAATTCCGGCTTTTTCAAACACTTTTCTATTTTGTTCTATTGCTATTTATATTATAGTTTAAACGTAAAAACAATAAAAAACGCCCCTATTCAATTTCTAGGCCGGACCCAGAAAAACAAAGTGTTTCAAGAAGTCTTTTATCAAAAGCAAGGCCTAGCTTGTTTTATTCGATATTTTCCCGAGGTAAATTAAAATTTATATAATATTCAGCGTTTATTAATTTTATATTACAGTAATCGTGGGGCTGTCCCTTGTGAACGTGTGCATCAACGTCGTCTGCGAGAAGCTCGAGCAAATGTACCTGGCGCTACTCACCAAGATGGCCGAGGTTAATTTTATTTACAAACATCTATATATTAATTATTGACTAGATTAATTGTTCATCATTTTTAAGTACAAAACATGTTCTTCAAAACTTGGAAACTAATTTTAATGTTTCAAAAAACTTTGCTATCCTGAGAAATAATGCTACTTGAATGCCACATATGGCCTCAAACTCGCACTTCAAAGCCAAATAATCATATTCCGATGAAGTACATTACTCTAAAGCTTAGAATCTACACAAAATATATGAAATTTATGTTAATATATCAACTTATTAATAAATGCTAAATTCCCCGGTTTTCGGGAATCAAAAAAAATGAGTTTCAAATTCAGTTCAATGACTAAAAATTCGTGGCAATGTTGAAGAAAATAGAGGTAATCTTAAGAAATATTTAATACTTTTATTCGCTTAAAAATCAATACCAAAGTTCTAGTTATATATGCAATCAAGGTCGCAAATATCCTCAAACTTGAGGTGTTTCAAAATGAAAAAGTTGTGTTGCACTTTCAATGGAATCAGCTCGAATTATTAAATTTCCAATTCACCAGGTCTGGTAAAAAATTTGAATTTTTTCTAAACAAACCAGCCGATTACAGCCGCTTCGCGACTGTAATCGACTGGCCCTCGGGCTACCCTCCATGTTATACACCACCACATTACACCTCTACCTTCATCAATACCCACGATGGTCGCTTCAGATACCTTCTATGGCCAACCCCTGCTAAAACTTTACTTGGCTTTAGATACTTCCGCTAGCCGAAATCCCCTCAAAAAAACTACATCGATACCTTCCCGATGGCTTCAGATACCCCCCATGGCTGAAATCCCCTTCAAAACCTACCTAAATACCTTCCCGATGGCTTAAGATACCTCCCCTAGCCGAAATCCCCTTCAAAAACTACCTAAATACCTTCCTGATGGCTTTAGATACCCCCATGGCTGAAATCCCCTTCAAAAACGACCTAAATACTTTCCCGATCGCTTAAGATACCTCCCATGGCTGAAATCCCCTTCAATAACTACCTAAATACCTTCCTGATGGCTTCAGATACCCCTCATGGCTGAAATCCCCTTCAAAAACTACCTAAATACCTTCCCGATGGCTTCAGATACCCCCCATGGCTGAAATCCCCTTCAAAAACGACCTAAATACTTTCCCGATCGCTTAAGATACCTCCCATGGCTGAAATCCCCTTCAATAACTACCTAAATACCTTCCCGATGGCTTCAGATACCCCCATGGCTGAAATCCCCTTCAAAAACTACCTAAATACCTTCCCGATGGCTTCAGATACCCCATGGCTGAAATCCCTTCAAAACTACCTAAATACCTTCCTGATGGCTTCAGATACCCCCATGGCTGAAATCCCCTTCAAAAACTACCTAAGTACTTTCCCGATCGCTTAAGATACCTCCCCTAGCCGAAATCCCCTCAAAAAACGAAAATAACGACCGACCGGATGGAATGAGAGAAAAAAGAAATGAAATCCCCCGTGAAAATTTTCATCCACGAAACGCGCGCCACCTGGCTCACTATGTCCAAAATCACCCCAACCTCCGTCCCCCACCCCTTTTACTAAGGAAAAAACTTTCAAAGTTAATTTTCAACTAGGGTTGAAAAGCGCTCATGACTTTCCAACCCTATCCCCGTTTTCGACCAATGAAAGTTTTACTTTGCATAATTCGGCCTGACCCATGCTGAAAAAATGAAAAATGCGCTCTCTGCTCCTTTATATAGGCCATCCCCACTTCCGGCGTATGCTAATATATTCCTAACAAAGAGGGTCTCGGAGTTTTCAACAAAAACTAAAATTTAATGTCGAAAATAGGCGATTTCGGTAAATCTGATATGCGTGCAGTCATCCCCAGACCATTACGCTCCTAATGATGTATCAAACATGCCCCTAGCTACGCTCCTTCTTGAGATATTGCTGGAACACGCTGACGGAAGTTGCATGCAAAGTGGCACACACACACACACAAACACTATTTTTTTATATATAGTAGGAAGTAAGGATAATTTGAACTAAAAGTTTTTCATAATTTTTTTATCAGTTTGGGGGTTTCTGACCACGCTCTATCCGAATCCGAAGAGACCTAAGCTCTAGCTCCTTTCCCCTTCGAGTTGAATCCGGGACATGACAGACAGACGGACACCACTACTTTTTTATTATAGTTGATGTAAAAGTAAAAACATTAAAAACCAAAGTAATAGACTTTAATAATCTTTGTGATCTTCCATTCCAGGACTATCAACGCGCGCTGGAATCGGGCGATCCAAAGGCCATTGAGGGCATGATGAGCGGCTTCCAGGGCAAGGCCAAATTCCTGATGCCGCTGATTAGGTTGGCGGAGTCAAAATTTAAATAATTAATGAAATAAATCAGCCTTTTTAAATGAAAAAGGCTCTATCCTATCACGAAAAAAATTTTCAAAATCATGTCTCATCTATAATTTATAAAAAAATCGGACAAGTTAGATTCAATTACCAGTACACCGACTTCGGGTACAAACAACGAAACTGGAAACAAAAAAAGGTTTCGACCAATTAGAATCTGGGCTTTTCGTTATCATGTATAATGAACGGTTGTAGGATTTTTAAGACAATCAAAGAAAGAGTTAAAAACGACTGTTTCAAGGAAGTAAAAAGGGAATGACGGAATTTTATGTGGAATTGGAAGATCTTAGCTGGCATTCTCATAGCAGCTGTTAAGGAAAATGGTAATTTTGCGAAAACGAGGAAATCTTAGATTTGGAAGTTGGCGGTTAGAAAGATATGTTTTATCGAATTTTCACATTGCCGTCGGTTTATATATGACAATCTTCGTATCTGCACCGGAGCTTTTAGCAATAAATAAGTTTTTAAAAAGGCTTGGAAAACCCAGACAAAAAATGATCGATTTTTATAAAATTTGGGATTAAGTGGAACGGCGTTTTCAGTTCTTATGTTTCACCATTTACTCCTTATTTTATAAATTCAATCTTTTTAAAAGGTTTGAAAATCCAGACAAAAATATCGATTTTTATAAAATTTGGGATTAAGTGGAACGGCGTTTTCAGTTCTTATGTTCCACCATTTACTCCTTTATTGTGTGCTAAAATTCAATTCAATTATAGGAACGGTTTGCTACTTATCTTTAAGCAACTTGAATGGAGCGTTTTTATTTGTTTCTATATTTAAATAATTATTAATAATCATTTAATTTAGCTAATATTTCATATATCTAATTATATTTAGTAAGAACGCCGGGAACAAGGTGATGAACCAGTTCAAGGAGGAGGCCAAGGCGAAGGGCATCGACATCCCGCCAGTTCTTACGAATCTCGACCCACAGACTGGTAGGCTTTATTTGAAAGATATAAATTTAAGCCAATACTAGATTTGTAATATAGTTAATATAGGTTAATATTCCAATATAATTGATTAAATTTTATATATTGTAATAGCTTTAATAAAAAAATCAGCAAAATCCATTTTACGCCATTAGATCCCAATGTTTCAGCAGGATAAATAAATATAAATAAATTTTACAAAAGTACCCGTTATTGTTCCAGTTTGTGATTATTTTATGCAAATTTTTAGTTTAAAAATTAAATCAAGAAAATTACTGAGATGTTTTACTGTATTTTAAAAAAAGCCGCGTGCTTCCAACTGGGCTATTAATCAAAAGGAAGGTTTTCGAAACATGAAAAATAGACAACTCGTTATTCCGGGCTGTATGATGCAAAATTTGTTTATTTTTTAGCAAATTAAACTACAGTATTTTTATGGTATTTTCTATGCAATTAACGATCCATTTTTAAGGAATGCCCGCCTTCGCCAAGGCGGATCGCGGCGATTTCCGCGAATTTATCGAGGCGGCCGAGGTGGTTTAATTTTTTAATTATCTAAACATTCAAAACTACAGAAAATTAGTTCCATTATTATTCGAAAATGAGTTTTAAATAACTAGGTTTTATTAATGAGAAAATGCCTAACAATATCGATAAAATAAAAAATTCCAGGTGAAAAGGCAGCAAACCGACCGCGTCGAGCAGCTGTTCAGCGAACGCCAGGTAAATTTGAAATTCCTACCTTTATTTTTCTAACGCTGCTCGTTTGATTCTACCGAGCAAAATCAAACTGAACATAATGTTCTACGAAACACATTTTTTCTAACATTTTCTTGTGGTTTTAATAATTTTTAAATAACGAGGCTTTTGTATTAATTAGGCGAGCCTCATTGCGTTAAGCGCTGAGAAGGCCTTGTTTTATTTTCTAAGTTTATTATTTTAGCTTTGCCCTCATTTTTATGTCATTGTTTGGTTTTTACAAGTAAGCGGCTCTGAGTGCGGTATTCAGCCGAGAAAAATCAATTTGGGTATCATGTACCACGGAACAGATTTTTTTTCATTTCCTGATGTTTTAAATAAAAGTTTGCGTATCGCAATGATCAAGTAATTTAATGCATTAATGATTTGGAGTGAAACTCGATTTTTCAGTCATCAATTTCGACCAATTTTATTTGTATTTGTATTTGTATTTTTTATTTAAGACCCCCCGATGAATTGATGCTTGACCTGCAATTTAAAATATGTAACTTAATTTTTTAGCATTAATTTATTTTTAAGTTTAGATAAAAGCGCCAACGAAATTTTATATTCCCTCCTTCTCAAGCAACCGGTGTTGGAATTTGTGCGAGCATAATTTTCTTAAGGTCATCTTTAACAATGAGGCCTTCTAAAGGCCTTCGTACCTAAAGCAACAATCACCTGTGCATAAAATTTGCAGTGAAAATTGCTTGGTAATAACTTTTAATGAAACTTCTTTTTTACCTTTAAAAACTTTTTAGCAGCGATTAAATAAATACATAAAAATACATTGTATAGACTCGTTCCCCATCATTTGCCGGCCAGGCCCTCGTCAACACGGCCATGGTCACCGAGGAGATGAAGAAGAAGACGGCCGAGGTCGAGATACAGGTAAGAACTTTTGAAAATCACATCACTTAAGCATTTGAATGTTTCACGATTTGTCTAAATCTTTCTGGAGAATTAAGTAACATTCAAACTGGTGCTCATTCCGTAAAAAATTGACATTTCTGGATAGGGTGAGATTATAAGGGAATTTTGGCAACGCCTCTCGGTCAATAGTACGATAAAAATTAAACAAACTACGCATTTTTTAAACTTTTTTTGAAGGCGTGCTCACAGATATACACACATTTTAATGCTGGCGAACAAATTCATAAATATTTACTCCGAACATGCAAGGCCTTCAAAAAAACATGTATCATATTTTTGTAACTTTCTCTAAGGAATTTGAGCCATAATAAGATCTTGTTCCCTCGTTGTCTTTGATTGAATTGCGCTTCAATTTCGGATCATAAACGCTCTAAAAAATCGTGATAATCAGCCATTTAATTTCGGCTGAAAACCATATGTTTCACAACTTTGCAAATTTCGCTGGAAAATCAGTGCGTTACTGCAACCGATTTCATGCGTGATATAGTCCATTTTAGGCTACAATTTGATAACTAATTTTTCAAGTTGAATCACCTTGTAAATATCATTATTAGTCAGTTTAAAGGGGTTCCGAAATCTGGTCCACGGCCCCCTGCTGTGATCCCTGGCAAATAGCCAGATGCGGCCGCAACGCGACCGCGCCGCATGATCTTTTGCCCCTGTTTGGACGCGAAAACGCTTGAATTTAAAAATTCTGATACTATTTTTGGAATCCTCAACAAATTTTGATCATTCCAGACTTTTAAATTATGAAAATTGACCAGAGAAGCACCGAGATCGAGAGATTGGGTGTCTTACAAGGCATTACGACATGTAATCGCTGCGCACTCAATATGTCGTTTCCGTCCCCAAAAAAATTCGGTTTTTCACAACAATTTTACGTTTTTTCGCAACGAAATCACTTTTCTGGTAGTTCTCGACGGTGACCCTTTCGTTTTTTGAGCCGTAGGTTCAATCCCCGGACGGAAGAATTTTGACTTCTGAGCTCCTTTAAAGCAAACTTGAAATCACGACACGGTTGAAAGTTAAATTTAACGAAATTCTCGTAAAACCATTTTCGCTGTAAAACAGGCGCGTTTCAATTGATTTCGTAGTGGATACATCGGTTTTTTAGCTTTAATATCCTTTTATGCTTTAATCTTAATCGCTATCAACGCCTCACAAATCATGAGAAGGTTTTTCATTTTTTTATGAAATTATGTGTTTCATAATTTTGCAAATCTTGCTGTAAAATTGGTGCGTTACTTTCAAATCTTTCAAGTTCAAGTTGGTATAGTTAATTTTAGGATACAATTTGAATATCCACTTCTCTTAAAGTGTAATTACCTTTTAAATATCACTATTATTCATAAAATCATGACACGGTTAAAAGCTAAATTTAACAAAATTTTTGTAAAACTAGATGTTTCATACTTTTGCAAATTTAGCTGTAAAACCAGGGTTGAAAAGCCGCTTCGCGTCTTTTCAACCCTGGCCCCGTCTGCTCCCGGGATATTCTTGGCTATGCATAATTTTCCCACATTCGGACGACGAAAAATGAAAAATGCTTCCTCTCTTCCATTATATAGGCTACCGCGACTTCCTGCGCATGCTAATTTGATCCTAACAAAGAGCGGTGTCGGATTTTTCATGAAAACTGAAATTTTAATGTCGAAAATAGAAGATTTTTATAAATATCATTTGCGTGCAGTCATCTCCAGGCCATTACGCACCTAATGACGTATCAAACATACCCCTAACTTTCTCCCTTCTTGAGATACTGCTGGAACACGGTGACGGAAGTTGCATGCAAATGCACACACACACACACACACAAACACTATTTTTTTATATATAGTAGGATAGTAGGATTAGCGCGTTACTTGCAAGGGTTTCTTACTCGATACTACTACGATATTCGAAGTATAATTTTAATATTTCCTTTTTTTGGTTAATTAAGTTGTAAAGATTAAATTACCGATCTTAAGCTTGACATTTTAAAACAAAGGTTGATACCGTTGAAGGCAAAATTTAACGAAATTTTCGTAGAACGATACGTTTCATAATAGTGCAAATTCGCTGTAAAATCAGCGGGTTACTTTAAGGGTCTTGTCATTGGAAAAATTCATTTTCATGTATAATTTTAATATCTAGTGTTGAATTTCCTTTCAAATATTAATCCTCACCAGGGTTGAAAAGCCGCTTCGCGACTTTTCAACCCTGGCCCCGTCCGCTCCCATGTTATACTTAGCGTTGCATAATTTTCCCCGATTCCACAAAAAACGAAAATTGCCCTCTTTGTCCCATTATACAGGCTACTGCGACTTCCGGCGCATGCTAATTTGATCTTAACAAAGAGGGGTGTCGGACTTTTCATGAAAAACTGGATTTTAATGTCGAAAATAGGTGATTTTTATAAATCTGATATGCGTGCAGTCATCTCCAGGCCACTACGCCCCTAATGACGTATCAAACATTCCCCTAACTTGCTCGCTTCTTGAGATACTACTGAAACACGGTGACGGAAGTTGCATGCAAATGCACACACACACACACACACACAAACAGGGACGTAGCGTAATACCGGCCCTAGCCCGGGGCCTCCGAAATCGGCCGGGGCCCGAAAATTTTATAAGGGGGACCTTATGATTTTCATTTTTCCGTAATTTATGTTACCTGCGGCGCTATTTTCTCACGTTTTTAAGGCTATTTGTAGAGCTATGTAACCTCTTTTTCAAAAATTTTTGCCTGCGGCGCTGTTTTCTCGTTCATCTTTTTAGTTTTTGAAAATTTTTGGGGGCCCCCCCCGAAATTTTTTCCTGGCTACGCCCCTGCACACAAACACTATTTTTTTATATATAGTAGGATAATTTTAGACGTGGACGATGGACGAGCTGTTCCAAGAGTGGAAGCCAAATTGCCATATTGAGGTGCAGACACGACCGGAAATGGTGGAAGAGCACAGCCACGAGGGACAGGTGCTTCTTTTCAATTTTTTAAAGTTTAATACAATATATTTACCCGGGGGTGGTCGTATTTAAGATACAAATCAATTAAAATTAATTTTTCGAGTTCGCTTTACGACTCGTTTTATATATTTATACGAGTTCAATATTTCCATCAAAATCCAAAAATGACTAGGGATGTTCCGGCACAGCTTTTCAGCATTTTTTGCGAAACTCAATTTTTCGAAAAGCCATGGAATCGACATTGCGTCACGATCAAGCCACTCTATTCAAATTTGATGTGAAACACCCCCAATTTTTTGGACAAGATTTAAAACGAGGCGGCGCCAGGCGCCTTGAATATGTCGTGAAGCTCCATTTATCTGGAACGGCTGCGCGAAATCAAAAATAAACAGAGCTAGAAAGCTTGTGCTTATTTCTTATTAAGTAAATATAAATGTCACAATATAGCATATAAAAAAATATCAAAAGACGGAGTATAAAAATATAACATCAGGCAGTAAATTGAGAATCTGAGAATCAATTGTAATTCTCTAAGAATCTCCGTATTTCGAGATTATCTAAACATTTTTTGCAAAATCGCGGTTTTGGCATTAAGCAACCACGTCCCCACTAAATACGACAAACATTTTTCGATACCTCGGGTTTTCGAAACCTGCTTTTTCAAAATTTTTGGCGTTTAACGTTGAATGCTGATGGGGAATTTTGGTAATTTGATCATATATAAAAATACAATATATGTAATTGAGGCTCGATTATTTTATAGCAGATTAACGCTTTAGTCGTTTGAATAGGGTAGCATTCAGTGAGAAAGCAAGAGCAACACAAAATCCTTAAATTGCACTCCCAAAAACCATCTATTTCTCAACCAGGTTTGAAACACTTTTTTTAGCAAGATTTCTTTCTGAAGGTGGCGATTTTTTAAGGTATGTCGGCTCCATTAGAGCTAAAAATGTGGGGAAAAACGTGGTAATGGATTGGCGAAACTCAGTCGTTAATTAGCCCCAGAAATTTTTAATGTTTTTACTTTTTTGTGAAACAGAATTTTTGGTAAAATTCTGCGATTTCCGGTCTGTTTTCGGGGGTCACGGTATTTAAAATCTGCTTAAAAATTCAAAAACAAAACGAATAAAACGCGTAAAACCGGATGCAGGTGGGTGACTGGCTGCAGCGGCGCAAAAATTACCTGCTGCTCGGGGACGGCGGTGACGACGAGAATTTGCTCGAGGTCGACCCGAAAGAGGCCGCCCAGAAATTGGGCTGAATTAAAACCTTTTGCTATTTTTTTAATTTGCTTTATTGGTTCCACGCCTGCTTAATCGTTTCGTTATTAAGGTGTCTGAAACCCTTAATACTATGCATTTTTCCAAAACATAGATCTTTAAAAAAATATGTTACACCCGTATTTAAGGAATTCACGCCTCGGTTCGTATAAAATTTAGCTTAGTTTCGATCTGATCAAATATTAACTAAAATTTTATTGATTCAACTTTTTATACAAATTATATAATGTAAAGAATTGCTTCCCTCAAAATTCCCCCTAGTACCCGCTTTTTATGAAGCCATTTTTTGGCGGTTTTAATGCAATTTCAGGACTCTTCGGATTTTATGACACAATATTTTTCGTATACTACATACTAAATTAAATCTAGTTTATTAAATTAGATGTAGGTTGCATACAAAAATATCTACTTAATTAAAGTAGATATTTTTTTATGCAACTTACATCTCAAAAGATGCAAACTTTTTGGAACAAAAACGTCAGAAGGATTGCCTGTTTTAAAAACCACCCCACTGTGCATTTTTATGAAACTCAGTTTTTGAAATTTCTAGGAATCGAAATTTATGCAACCGTCAATTTGAATTTTATTTCTTTTAGCTTCATTTGGTATCTTTAAGTCACAGCCAAAAATCAACAATATTGTTATGCAAATTACACCTATCAAAATGATTCTCAATCTCTTTTATATCCCATTATTCTCGCATTTAATCTTTGCTCAAGTATCTCGCCTTGCCAAAATGCAATTTCGTCAATTAAGACTCTACAATGTCCATGCAATATCCCATACAATCTGCAAACCTGGATATTGAAAAATATATGAAAAATTGGTATTTGAAATTTGGAATCGATTTATACGCCCTTTAATTTTTTAACATTAGGCTTCATTTAAACTCCGTGTTTCAACCCCGTTTTATGTACCGATTTTTGGTTTATATCTTTGCGATTGATCTGAATAAACGCAATATTGAAAGTCGTCGCTCCTCGGCATGGCTTGCGTTTTTTCGAGTGTTTTCTTAGTGCCTCTTCTCCGAAACTTTACTTCTCTAAAAATTTCTAAAACATTAAATCGACTTTCAGATAATTTTAATAATGTTTTTGAATTAACAATAATTCAAAATAATCAGCTTGAGATTGCGCTGGTTCTATTAAAAACCTAAAAAGAGTGCGGTTGTAAAATAATTTATTTTCATAATTTGATGGCAAAATTTAATGGTTTTTCAGTGCCGAGTGGATGTGGTGGAAATCGAGATCCAGACGATATGGGAATCGATGGACGAGGGGATTCAGGTGGGCTTTACTTCTAATTTTGCAGAGATTATATAATTTTTAGATTTTCTATTTGTTACAAAATCAGGGCTTAAAATTTAATTAAATACAAAAACCTTTAATTTAATTTCTGTGCATAAAACACTTAGGAATTTAATCTGGTTAAAGTTAATTAAGCTTTGAGTTTTGGAATCTGAAAAGTTACTTTTTGGTGGTTGGCGACTAAGCGGCTTGGCACTACGGTTTTCTAAAAAATGCGGATCAAACTAGTTTTCTGAAACATTTTTTCAGTGCGGCGCCGAGTTCTCGGATTTCGAGACGCAAACTTCCTACGAGAGCACTGACGAGGGAATTCAGGTGTGTGGACGTGATACATATACCCTGAAAATTTTAAAAAATATCCACCCGCTCCCCCGATAATGCAAAAGATCCTTTTTCGACACAATTTATTATTTTTAGGTTATTTATTTTTCAGGTAGGTTAATAAACTCTGAAAATTGCAATTTATGCTGGATTCAGGTGTGGCCATCGATGGAGGAGGTGTACACACAATATGATGTTGCCCTGATCCCCGGCGTCGAAGCCCAAACGCAAGCGGTCGAAATGGAGGTATCCAGAAAATGTGTTTTACCGCAGAAATAATAAAAAAGAGTAGCTTGGGGTGTAGTGAGGCAATAAAAAGAGGTGAAAATAAAATATAATTTAGCTTGATGATATATCTCTAAAGTAACAATAAAACAATTAATACGTAAACTAAGTTTGAAAATGTGATCGATTAAAAAAGCTAAAAAGAAAGATGATACAGTAAGCCCTTGATAAAAAAATTAATAATAAAGATTAAATCGTAGCTTTTCCTTTAGGTGAATTTTAAGAAAAAATGAATGTTACAGAAAAATCCAATTCCAAAACAGAATTTTGCTTTAATAATATTGATTTCAGGAATGCGGATGCCAATGGGAGCCGTCGACGTCCGGGTGGGTGAAATTCGAATCGAATTTTGCAAGAATAAAAGGGTTTTGCATTAGCTAGAAAGCGATCTAGAAGGGGTTTTAGAAATTGAGAAAATATCGAAATTTTCGTCGAAAAATCGGTATTTTTTGCATTTGCCAATCGATTTGCAAAGTTTTTACTTTTAGACATAGCACAAAAAGACTTTTAACGTTTCGGCTAGTTGCATATCTGGAGAATTCACCCCCGCCCTCCCCTCCTGGGATAATGCCCAGAGAACCAGAAAAAAATTATATTTGACGGATCTTTCAATCGGTTTCGGTGCGCAAAAATATGTTACATGTTCTAACCTTTGGACCAAAGATTTCGAATAATTAGTTTGCTCCAGTTTAGGACGCGGAAAATTCGCGAAACTTTACATGAAATGCGATAGTTTCAGGATGGCCGAAATGGGCACCCAGCCTGAGGGTGTGTCACGTTGTATCACGAGCTGGAGAACGAGCCTGAGGAGGAGCAGGATACGGTAGCTTTTTAGGTTGGATTCAAGTGTTGCAGAAAGAGTGCAATACTGAAGAATTTAACCACGCAACAAAACTGCTACGTACTGTTGCTAAAACATTTGATGTGGAATTTTTGTTTGGTGAAACAGAAGTAGGGCTTTGATGATTGCATATAAACTAGTGTAGTTTCGTTAATAATAAAAATCAATATCATACAAAATAACTAGAAATTTTGTTACGGCTTCATCCTACCTTGTTTTGACTTTTCGGTGTAATTTCAACCTAGTAATTTAATTCTTTTTTCAACATGTTTTCCGAAAATTTCTAATTGCCACATTCTGTTTTATATCATAAAATCCTATAATTCCCTTTCAATCGACAATTTAATGGAAAAATGTTGCGTATCCCCGCCATTTTCTAGCCGTTTTTGGTGCGCTAGTATCATTTCCAGCAATGGTTTTTCATTAGTCAGAATAATTTATTTTAATTAATTTCGATAATAATTTCCTTTTGTGAACTGTATGAGGGCGAATGCTTTCAAAAATCATATTTATGATTTTAGATATTCTGCTGCTTAAAAAGAACCGAAACTTGTTAGAAAATATGTTTAATTTCGCGAACAATTACCAGAAAGGTCGCGCAGCACATTGAGCTGCTGAAAACGTCATCAAAATGTTTAATTTAATTAGATTTTGAAACACCAACTGTTCATGTTACAATTTTTTAAGCGCTCCGTCATTTCGTCGGTGAGCGATTGGTCCGTCTATGATGAGCCCGACTCGGAGGATGAGGCCATTCGGAAAGAGGAGATGAAGATACTCAGGGAGGCACCAGGTTCGACAATTAAAATTGACTTAAATATAATTAAATATTAAGCTTTAAAACCTTTTACAAATATTTAAGTCCCATAATTTATCCAAAAAACTTCAAAAAATTTCAAAAATATGTTATCAACCTAGACAAATTCCTTTTGCTTAATTTCTAAACAATTTAAAGACACTGCAGATTGCAAATAATTTCGCAAAATTAAATAAAAATTAAAAACGTCGAGGAGAGATTTAACATCAAAAATGACGGGCGTCATTTTTTAGAAAAAACTGTTACAACAAAATAACCAAAAAAAATGGGTTTTCGAAATTAATGTCTTTTTCTTCAATAGAAATTGCTAATCTACGACCCCAGCTGGTCCAGCCGTCAGGTATCTCCCTAAAAAATGCCCTTCCAAAATCCTACCGTATCCCCTGATGTTTTTATAACAATTTTTTTATTTTCCTAAATTTCCTAGATCTCTAAAAAATATAGTTAAAATAAAAAATTTTAGATATGTCCGATATCGACCCGCTTGGAGCAGAATATGAAGAGCAGGAGAGACAGAGGGTGTGGGCTGAAAAGGTAGGAAAAGCTTCCCAAAGAATCTCTGCTAGCCTGCCCTCTCCTCTTCCTCACCAATCTCTGCTAGCCTGCCCTCTCCTCTTCCTCACCAATCTCTGCTAGCCTGCCCCCTCCTCTTCCTCAACAATCTCTGCTAGCCTGCCCTCTCCTCTTCCTCACCAATCTCTGCTTGCCTGCCCTCTCCTCTTCCTCAACAATCTCTGCTAGCCTGCCCTCTCCTCTTCCTCAACAATCTCTGCTAGCCTGCCCTCTCCTCTTCCTCAACAATCTCTGCTAGCCTGCCCTCTCCTCTTCCTCAACAATCTCTGCTAGCCTGCCCTCTCCTCTTCCTCAACAATCTCTGCTAGCTAGCCTATTTCCCAAAAATTTTTTTTGAAGGTACGATTACACGAAGAGCGCCAGAAAAAGCTGGAAACCAGGAAAAAGGAAAGGTATTGATTTTTGACACCGGAACGCAATAATCGCTCTTATCTTCCTGAAACCATGCAGCTTTGAGAAACATTATTATTTCACCGGGTTTTCAGAGACGAGCGACGTCGCAAAAAGCGTGAAGAGCAAGAGGAGGCCAAGCGCCGCAAAATGGTCAGCCCTAAATAAAACAGCAAAAAATGAAATTTTTTCGGTGTTGGCAAATAAATCTAGAACACATTTTCCAGGAGGAGAAAGAGCGGCGAAAGAAGGAAAAAGAAGAGATGCGCAAGCAGATTCGGTTTATGAAACACAGTGCAGATCAGGTAGAATTTTAAAAATTATATTGCCGCTTAAAAAAATATTAGAAAACCGATTAGGAAACCAACCTTGGCGTGGTCTCATTCAAAATATTTGTTTCAAAATTACCCCACTTTTCGGTGAAGCAAAATTTTATTAGTAACGTGATTGGATTAATGGGGTTGTGTCTAATGAATGGGCGAATAGAAAAACTCCTGTTTTAATTAAAACCCTGTTCCAGACCGATCCGGCAGACCTGAGCATCACCAGCGCTCAAACGCAAGAAGTGCAAAAGGTGTCGAAAAAGAGCCAGACGAAATTGACGAGGTACGGCAGTTATTGCATGCTCAAATTTGTATGTAGTTTTTTATTCATTTAATTTCAAATAGCCGCAGAAATAAGTACATCGACATAGTAGCCAGCAATAAAACGCGCCTTTTTTAATAATTTTTGGAACATCGTTTTTTTTTAATTCTGAAAGTTTTTCTTACTTTTGGTGCTGTGCTTTATTTGTTACGTTTTCAATGTTATAATGCTAAGTTTTTAATAAATCGGGCTAAATGGTACTGATTTTAGAAAGCAAAAGAGAAATCATAATCACGATGCGAAAAACTAGCGAACCAGCAACTTTTTGGAAACATAATTTTTTATATATAGATATTCTGGATTTTTAAGGAAACTCAATTAAAAATATTGGTTTTAGTCTGGAATCCACAGAACTGCAGGCGCTGAAGTCGAAGAAGCAGTCGGTGAGTGATTTTGGCGAATGGAATGTTTCACAAAAATGCAGTGTGCCGGCGAAAATTATTGTCGCAATAGATGTTCGAATGCGTGTGGCAATAATTTTTCACCTCTTTGCTGAAGAGATTTTTCTGACAATCAGCTTATGTAATATTTATGCTTATTTCTAAAAAAAGAAGAAAATCGCTAAAAGTGACAAATTTAACGTTTTATAAAATGTTTCGGAAAAATTCAAACCAAAATTTACCAGATGGAGCTTGATTCCCCGCACTAAACAGAATTCATTTAACAATTTTTTTAATCAAGGTCATTTTATTTAATTTTAGCGCCCATCCAGCCACCTCTCCGCGATGGGACCCTCATTTTCGGCTGTCAGCGCTTCGCTACCATCATTGCCTACATCGCCGCAGGTATGCAGATTAGGGAGGATTACAGTCAAAATCCCGACAGCTAAAATACCGAAAGCCAAAGTCCCGGCGCTAAAATCTCGACAGGCCAAAATCCCGAGAGCTAAAATCCCGACAGGCATAATACCGACAGCGAAAATCCCTATAGGGCGAACTCTTGAGTGCCGAAATACCGACAAGATGCAGTCAGCCAGAATACCGACAACAAAATCCCGACGACAAAAAGTCCCAATAGCCAAAATCCCGACAATTCGGAAATCCCGACATCCAACATCCCGATAGAGATAATACCGACACCTCCCGATAGCAAATATGGCGCAAAGGAAAATTTCGCCCCTCAGAGAAAAAAATTACTGACATTCACCAGCTGCCGCACTATGATATTTATGAAACACACATTTTCAGCCGCCGCCAGAACCAAAAGTATCGATGAGCGAAGATGAAAATGGGCGGCCCGTGGCTGAGGTAAGTATGCTGCATTTTATTTTTAGGGTTATATCATTAATGGAATTAATATATTTAATAAAAGTTACTTCGGAACTTTAGCTAATTTCAAAAGGCCATTTAAAATCCAATTTTTCTATTTGAAGGTATCTGTAACACTGGAGCTGGTGAAAGTGCCCGTCGACGAGTACGGCTATGAAATCTTCTCTTCTGATGACTACGACAAGGAGGTTTGTAATCATTTTGTTTAATGGAAAACACGCGTAAGATCTAACATCAATTCCAGTGTATATATAGGGTCGAAACAGTAATTTCTCTGAAACATCGATTTTTTCACACCCGTGTTTTTTTTTTTGCTGAAAGCTGTCACAGTCTGACACACTGACATAGAGCAAAACGCTTAGGTGGGCGACGACAGCGTGTTCTTCTCCTCCGACGAGGACGTCGGCGAGATGGAGGCGTACTCGGTTAGCCAGATGACACAAACGGATTTTGAGCAGAAAGATGCCGGCCCGGTAAGTTTTGAAATCGTTGAAGATAGCCTAACTAGCACAAAAACAAAATATTCCATGTCAAAATGGGTTTGATTCTTTCAAAACCCTGCTAATCTGCTAATCTGCTGGTCGGATCTCTTCAGCAATCCTGAAAAAAAGGATAGAGGGAGAAAGAGAGTGAGAGAGAAAGAGAGAGAGCGAAGAGAGTGAGAGAGTGAGAGAGAGTGAGAGGGAGAGAGAAAGAGAGAGCGAGCGAAGAGAGTGGGAGAGAGAGCGAGAGAGAGAGAGAGAGAGAGAGAGAGAGAGAGAGAGAGCGAGAGCGTGAGAGAGTGATAGAGAGTGATAGAGAGAGAGCGGGAAAGAGAGAGAGAAAGAAATATTTCGCATTTTAAATGGACAGATAGATTCAAAATCTCTTTCTAGACCCAAGTCTCCTCGGCCCTTCTCGGTCTACTTTCCGACAGCATCTGCCAAACCACCGTCAGCGGCTTTCATCAAGGAACCAGGGTAATTGAACTAATCCAAAAATTAAGTATTTCTTAGCAAAATAGAATTTGCACGGGTTTCGCCTGCTGATTAGATGAATTAGAAGCCTGGACATGCTTCTAATAGATGAAACTTAGGATTTTCAAAGTATCCTTTTAAGTAGTTTTACTATTTTTCGAAAGTTGTGCAGGCGCTGCAGGAATCAAATTTAGATAATTTAACAAGTTAAAATTTAGATAGTAAAAAGACACATTGAGCTGGGCATTTTTTATTCACTCAAAATCTACACCGGCACATCATAGAGTGAAACTTATACGAACTGGCCTTTTCGCCGAAACTGATTTTTTTTAAGTCTTGGGTTAACTAATTTTACCTTAAATTATTTTTCTATTACTGAATTTTTGAATTATTTGGTATTTATTATGATTTAATTCGGATATTAGTCAATTTTCGAACTTAGGTTATTTTAATTGTCGTTATTATTCCCCCTCCTGTATTTTTGGACACAATAGTTTTTCGATTTTTCGTACTAAAAGAGTATTGTACTATTTATGGTGCTTTCTCAAAAGTAAATACAACTTTGGTATAAATCGATATTTTTCCAACTTAAATAATTACGTTATTTTTTTTAGCCGACGCTACCCCGGCAAGTTCGGCTCTCCTCAGCAGAAGCGCCACAAGTCGTCGAGCCGACCGTCGTTGAGGTATTTTCACGAAGATTTTGCTGATGATTGACGAGTTGGAGATAGCTTTGAGTAATAATCATAATAAAAATTGCTCGATGATTTAAAATATATACCTTATCAATTTTCAGGCCTCCTCAAGCGAGCAGACGGCAACCAGCGAGCCCGAGTCGGCCAAAGAGTCCGAGGCTGAGGTCTCCGATTCCTGGAAAGAACGGTTGTCAAGGAGGGCGTCATCTACAGAAAAACGCAGTATTGAGGTAAGGCATAAGGCATATTTGGATTTATTTACCATCAAAAATATTCGAAAAATCGTTAAAAATTCAGAAAGAGAAAAATGTGTTTCAACAAAAATTAGCAAGCCGCAAAACTTTGGCTCGCAACTTGGTACTCAATGAATGAATGAATGTTATTTCAACTAATTATTTTTGAGAAAGGTATACCTTAAATTACGGCAATTACGCTTATTTAGTGGCTTTTTCTTTTATTAGTTATTGGCATTAGTAAAATATGTAACAGCAATACGTAACTGAACGAAGCATGTACCATTCTCTCTCGCCTGCTCTCCCTCTGCCTCTCGTCTCTCTCTAGCTCTTTTTTGTTCCCTCTCTCCCTCTCTCTCTCTCTCTCTCTCTCTCCCTCTTTCTCCCTCTCTCTCTCTTTCTCTCTCTCTCTCTCTCACTCCTCAATAAATCCGACTCTACCCCAAAAACGCTAATGACCAGGGATGGATCATCTTGCGGTGGTCCTTGGCCCGACAGTTGTTGTCCACTGCACCTCAATCTTGAGGCCAATCTTGGTCTTTCGGAGGGTAGAGGCTACTTTACAAAAAACGTCTGACCTATGCCCTCCCCCACGCCATTCTGCAAGAATATTGCGCAAGGGATTGGGGTACGAAGGGTCGAGTGGCCACCACTACCTTTAGGCACCAACTTGCCATCCCCCCCAATCACTCGCCACTCAATCTTGACCCACCGGTTGCACTGGTTGGCGGTCTCTTTTGAGCTCAAAAAAGTTGGTAGATGGGCCAATTGTTCATTGCGCGGATGGGGGAGCATGTAATTGTTCTTTGTTGCGTAGTGGAAGAATACAGTAGTTGATGGATGGCAAATAAGGTTTGACTCTTTTGTAATGCCGAGGATTCGGACTGACGTCGATGCTGATTACAGTAGTTCTCCGCCTAAAATTGAGTTTCCAATCGCTGAAAACCATAAATGACTAAAAACCAAGGCTTTAGTACTATTTTATAGTAAGCGGATAGCACATGTTCCATATTTAGAATGTGTTAAAGGACCATTGAAGACACGGAAACTGGTAGATCCTTTGCGAAATGAGAGCTAATCTTACCTCCTACTTTACCACTTTCTTCCTAGCTATCGATTTACCCAGGATATACAACCTATGCGTCATTTGATGTAGATAGTGGGATAATTACGTTACGCAACGAAAAAACCCGCGCGTGACGTGTAGGAGTAAACTGCTCAGAAACACATGCTCAGAAAGTGCTACGCAAGCGCCTAATTACGCCGAAAAAGCAAGCCTCAAACCTCGCTTACGTAGTACGTGTCCAGAGGCCCGCCTTAAACGTGAACGCTACGTTCAAGAAAAGGGTGGTAATACCGTCTAGTACGAATTTGGCATTGTTTAATATCTTTCTTCCGCCAAAAACAAACATATCCATAGAACCTTGACACCATTTTGCCAAGGAGAACAAAACGTCTCTGTTAGGTTAGCGTTAGACACCCGAAAAACGTTCATATTTACGCACCACCACCCCCGGACATGACCCATCTAGTGCCATATTTGCTAACCCGACAGCATATGGCAGTGTCATTTTTTGGTATGGACAAAGCATTTGACCCCTCTCTCCCCGGACGACACCGTTCGACACCTAATTACGGCCCGCAGATCCTGTAATTTCTTGGAGGATCGCACCCCCGGAGACAAAAAACCACCAGGAGGCGCTGATTGGGGCCCTAAAAAGTGCGCGGGTGTGTGCGGATGCGGGAATCTGGCAAATTTGCGCACGCGAATCGCAGCGGAATTGGATTTGCCCGTAAGGGATACGCTGGGCGCGGCAGGGCGAGCTAAATTTCTACACACACTCCGCTTTGTCCTTGTTACGGGCATCCAATTTTCGGGGTGAAACTTGTGCGGAAAAACGCGAGGTGACTGGATTGGGATAAATTTCAAAAATTATAGAATTTTATTTGCTTTTTGAAATTCAAATTGTTTAAAAAATGTTTTTTTTTTGCGAATTTTCGATTTTCGGAGTTTTCTAGGTTGTCCAGAAATTGATGAAAATCACGATTTCTCAGCTTCGAATAACGTATTTATTTTATTAGTTTTTTTTTGGTGTGAAACATGAAGGTTTCTAGAAGCTTCCCGTACAAAATTATACGTCAAAAATCCATAACGTTTGAAAATCAAATGAATTTTTCGAATTTTTTTAGACGTTTTGAATATAATTTAATAAATTGAACAAATCAATTTCACCAAAATATCTAGAGAAAAAAGATAAGCTAGAAAAGCGAAAAACCATTCAAGTTAATCTTCCGTTCGCTATTTTCCTCGGCTTCTATTGCAGCAATTAGCCTCCGGCCATTCCCCATCCAATACGCAATCAATCAGGCCAATCAAATGGCAGATCTAGGCCCTGATGGCACTTGGCCGTTCCAAAGGGTTTCAACGATTGGGTCTTCGTTTGAGATCGGTTATATGGATGTGGGAGGGTGATGGGCATATCAAAAGGTGTGAAGTTTCCATCCGGAATGTCTTGACGGGTGTGTAAATCGTCAATCAGCGCACGTCCGGTCGCTAGGTGTGTCAGAAGGGCTGAGAAAACGCCGGGAATGGCATGGCATCAGCTTATATAGATTGGAAATTCCAGAGCCTATCTTGTGCAAAATTTTTTGCTAATTTCGAATCTCCTTTTGAAATTTCCGAAAAAGTCTGATCTTAAAAGGTATAGCTATTTTTGTTACAAACTGTCACGAAATTGCTACTATTAAATACCTCTAAAACGCCGGGAGAATTTTCTGGATAAGAATAAACCGATTGATAGAGCATTTGAGAAAGCATGTTTTCTACCCCCGGAAATTGTTGTTTTTATAGGTTAGGTTAGGTCCCGAATTTGAATTTCCAGCCGATCGAAAAACCCTCTAGGTGATGAAAAATTGGTAGGCCGCTTCGGTGACATTTTTTTATGGCTATACATTTCTTTCTGTTTTAGGAACTCTACTAGAAATCAGGCGGCTGCCAGACGTGTAGATGAAAGCGACTTCTAGGTCCATTTTGTAAGAAATCGTTCCCCCTCACCCACCGCCTCATTAGCCTCCTTCTCATCCAACAGTTGCCCAGATTTTTTTCGCGAGCTGCCCCCGGGATAATCCCTAGTAATCCCGGGGGCTGCTAATCTGACCTCATAGACGGAGGGGGCGAGCCGCCAAGTGGCCGATTTGGCTCGAGGTTTTGTGTTTCGATACGGTTAATATAATTTCTATTAAAAAATTTGAATTATAGGCAGCTTTAAATTAAATAAAGAAACGATATTAAAACTACAAAAATAAGCCAAAACCCCTAGTTTCCTAATTTCTCCGGGTTTTCGCATGTTTTACAATTTCTGAGAAGCACCAAATTTTATAAGCTTTAATTTTAGTGTTTCTTACTTCTAGTCTATCATGTAAAAAGCAGCGGAAACTACAAGCTACTTTTTATTTGTCTTAAAAATTCTTTCTGTTCTTAAATGTACTTTTTAAACTTTTTCGCAGCCTTTGGCCAATTTTCCGGAGCAAGACGGATCAAGTCTGATCAAGAGCAACAAGCAACACACATTTTCATGAATCCAACGCGACCCATTGGGTGCTTAATGTGGCCCAGGTGCCACAGCGAAACCACACGATTTTCCGGATTTTCCGGATTTCCACCAAAACTAATGGGATCCACACGGTGTGTGTGTGTGCCCGGGGGCAAAAGAAACACACTGGCCGAGCTGTGGCACTACCCCCGTTGGTTTTATGGCCCAATCTACGGGCGGAGACACCCCGTTGCGACCCTCACACACACGCACCACATTTGCTCTCAAAATGTTTTCATTGGCTACCGCGACGGCCATCGTTGACTTGGGCAGCTTTATTTGCTATGTATGTACACGTTTTTTGGGGGTTATTTTATGGATGTAGCAATGTTCTAGAAATTCCTCTACCTTTTCCGGTACTTGATGCGTTTCTAGAGCTTATTTTCGATCCGATTAAAGGGACGAGCAAGGCATTTTGGTCTTGGACTTTATTAAAAAAATGTTGACGCACGCGCATTTGGCTATGGGAGGGGAACGCAGCGGAACCTATCGCGGCATGTAACTAATATTCTTCCTACCGCGGAAAATCGATCAGGAATCTATAGATTTGCCTTGGTGCTTAGGAAGTGCTAGAAAATACGCCAGTTCCGCGACGCCAAGCGACGGGCGCGTTGCGTATCGCGTTGCCTATCGCGTTGCGTAGCCCTTTTAGCACAGAACCGATAGCTAAAAATCTCAATCGCACAGCCTTGCCGGCCCCTCTAGACAGTTTGAAACTTCTAGCGATGGCTCGCCTCTGTTTCGTCGGTCAAAGGGCATGTGCGCTGTCCGCCGCATTCCGCTGTCCGCGCGCGTACAATTCCATAGGCGATCTACAGCTTGAATAATCTAATGGCAAGTTTGCAGCGTTTTTCCATATATTTTCCTGATCCCTCACCACCCAGATTAGCATAGAGAAGTTGGGAAGGCACCTGTGCGCGCGCGGCCGCCCGCTGTTGTTTTCGTGTGCCCCCAGGGTGCGTTACACACTTGGTACTAGGTAGCGAATGTCTTTTGAACGGAGCCGAGGTGATGATTGGACACTTGTCGTACACTTGGATGAGATTGACTGCTCTTTATCACAGCTGTGCGCGGCGTGGGCACATATCTGGCTGATGGAAGCGTCCTAAAAACAAGATTTAGCTCGCGACACCTCAAAAACATTAGGTTAGATTGTTTTAAAAGCCGTTCTTAATGAATCAGTTAACAAAAAATTATAAAAAGAGCATTTACGTAAAATTAATAGCTTTTTCCATAATAATCCATGGTCCGAATGCGGTTTAAACTTCAGTGTGCCTTTAAAACGGGTTTTCAATAGTTTTTCTAAATGATTTGTATGAAAAAACCATGTCAAATTGCACCATAGAGGAACTAGAAAGTGCAGTAAAGCAAATAATTGTCTTGTAGCGCTCTCTAAATAGGTTGACTGACAGAAATCTCCCAATTTTTGGTGTATACGCTAGAGTAAGTATTGCTACGGTATTTCAAGTTAGAACTAATTTTCCGGATCATTTTAAGATCGTCTTTAAGCTCGTGCTCAAACCTTTTCTTCATACTCAATCCC